TCGTAAGTTGGTGTGTGCTATTCCTGTACAAAACTTTATTTTGTGTTACGCTACATCTGCTGAGTACAATGATACCCCCATTGTATGTCTTTGGCACTGTTTTGTGAAACTATAGTACCATGTAGGAGACCTGTCCTTTTCAGTATTTACAGTAGAATTTTGAGAGATGGATTTAATGAGCCGTAGCTTCCATTTGGGGTATTATAGCAGTTTGACTGTTCAAAAAACCCAAAGGCCTACCATTTGTAAAAGTTGACCCTCCAGGGTATCTCATATGGTGCATATTGTGCCTCAACATGCCCCCATTTGTTCACCAGTATATGCCAAAGTATGTGGTAAAAAATGTTTTTGGTGCTTTGTAATTATCCCCATTAGCATTGTCAGTGCCCAGAAGTGTTTCAGTTCTGGCACACTGGTTGGGTTACAGCTCTCTTTCCTGGCGATAAGAGACTCTTAATTGCGTGCAAGATACTGCTCAGCGTACAGATTAGTCTGGGTGACTATCTCCCCAAAAATCTCATCCCCCAAGAACAGCTGCATACAATCCAGCACATTATAGTCAGACAAGTCAGCCTGTATGCCAGGTTGGCAGTGAACTCTGGGATGTCTGGTGAAAAATTATTAGGGGGTACCCAGTCATCTGTGCCATGTTCAGCATTAGGGTAATCAGCGATTTCTCCTGATGATCCTGCAGTATCTGGCACATAGTCCCTGTCCCCTGCGTCACTCTCTCAGGCAGTGTCGGTTGCCTCTGAGTTGGCCGCTTACAGGGCATAAGCCTCCTCTGCGCTATACTTCCTAAATATTGTGTACTAAGGTAATAAACTTTAACTAAATAAAAAAAACTTAAATTTTTGTAAAACTTTTTTTTCTTTTCACCCCTAACTAGCTTATCATTAAATTCCACCCACCTAACTAACTAAATCACAAATTAATAAAATGAAATACTAAAATTTAACCCCTTAGGGTTACTAAAAAAAATAAAATTTAACCCTTCAGGGTAAAAAAACAACTAGATCACAGTCAAGTACTGTGATTGGTATATTGATCACTGCTGGCAGTGATCAATCAGCAGGGAAAGGGTTAATTTTTTTAAAAGAAGGGTAAAGGGGATTTGGAACATTATCTCACACAATTTATTCACTTCTGGGACACAAAATAACAACGATCTGTCTCTCTCAACTTCAAAAACCCACAAGAGGTGGAGGGAGGCGGATCTAATATGCCAGCAGCATTGTGACCGCTGTGACTGGCACACGTTTAAAATCCTGGCACCTGGGCTGGGACATCGTGATTTGCTGTTGCTGGTCTGCCCCTGACTAGGAGGCACCCAGCAACAGCATTAACCCCGTGATCGCCGGCACCGTGGTGATCTGGGGTTAATTATAACGCATGAGTGCTTCCCCAGCATGACGGACCCGGTCCGTCATAAAGGGGTTAAAGTGTGATAATATGCCTGAGGATTGCCGTTGGGGTACCTCAAGCTTGTTTGTTATATAACAGTGATGACGAACCTTTTTGAGCCCGAGTGTCCAAACCGCAATACATGCCAACTTTTTTTTCCTTAAAGTGCCAACACGGCAATTAAACCTCAATACTGAGGTTTAAGTTTAGAAAAAACAACTCGTACTGTTTTCCGAACTAATTAACAACTTTTGTTTTAAAAGAACACAACAACAGAGAGGTCAATGATTCAAATTTTAAATAATGATAAAAATAGAAAAAATTAAGCTTATATTTATTAGTATCTCCAACAAATGCAATACATACACACACAGACTGCTGAATACATACACACAGTCTGCTGAATACACATACAGAGACTGATGAATACACACACACACACACAGTCTGCTGAATACACATACAGACAGACTGCTGAGTACACACACACAGACTGCTGAATACACACAGACACAGTGTGCTGAATACACAAACTGCTGAGTACACACACACACAGACTGCTGAATACCCACACACACACATACACACACTGCTGAATACATGCACACACACAAACTGCTGAATACACACACATACTGCATTGAGGGGTGTAGTGTATGTGTTTGTGTGTGAGGGGTGCTGTGTGTGTGAGGGGTGCTGTGTTGGGGGGTAGGGGTACACTGTGTGGGAGGGTAGGGGTGCTGTGTGTGGAGGGGTAGGGGTGCTGTGGGGGGGTAGGGGTGCTGTGTGTATGGGGCTGGGATAAAGGTGTTTTAAAAAATATATATATATATGCTAAATCAGTATCCCCACCCTCCCTCTTGCTTACCTTTAATGAAGGAGGGGTGGATACATCCATCCCTGGTGGTCCGGTGCTGGCAACCACTGCTTCCGTGTCGGGAGGCAGGGGGAGGGATCTGTGAAGCAGCTCCCCTGTCCTCCCACGCAATGCTGTGTGGAGCGTTGCCATGGTAACGCGCGACAACACTCCACACAGCTTGCTCGTGGGAGGACAGGGGAGCTGCTTCACAGATCCCACCCCCTGCCTCCCGACACGGAAGCAGAGTAGGCGCCTGCCGTTTTGGGCAGGCAGGTGCCTAATCTGCATTGATGGCGAACCTATGGCTGCGTGCCCACAGAAAGGGCCCAGCGTGCCACAGGTTCGCCATCACTGTTATATAAGAATGCACTGCAAAAATACAAAATAAAAATAAAAAGGAAGAAAGAAATTAGGTCAAACGAAAATTAAGTGGATTTTACATTTAAGCACCCTACAGCCTTTTGGACTTAATGTTGATTGGGAAATATATTATTAATAATTTTTATATGGCTCTTTATGCAAAGTTTTTACAATTTTATGTATTGTTTTTTTTGTCTTTTTTTACTGTTCCCTCTTTTAAAAATAAACATTTTTTTTATATGTATTGATTGCCACTTATGTATGTGATACTTTTAGTATTTTTGTAGTAAGTTCTTTATCCAATTATTTATATATATATTTAATTAGTTAATACAATCTGCACACCAGTCAAGCCATAAGACTTTTTTTTCTCACAGAAATCCTTTGCGGTAGTAACATCACTGCAAATTTGTGATTTCTGTGGGAAAAACAAGTCTTATGGCTGGACTGGTGTGCAGACTTCAGGTGAAAGGGGTTTTCAATCACAATTTTTTTTCCCCCACCATAACCTTTTTGATTTTTGCTTCCCTGTATATACACTGAACAAATTTATAAACGCAACACTTTCGTTTTTTTCCCCCATTTTTCATGAGCTGAACTCAAAGATCTAAGACTTTTTCTACGTACACAAAAGGCCTATTTCTCTCAAATATTGTTCACAAATCTGTCTAAATCTGTTAGGGAGCACTTCTCCTTTGCCAAGATAATCCATCCACCTCACAGGTGTGGCATATCAAGAGACTGATTGGACAGCTTGATTATTGCACAGGTGTGCCTTAGGGCCACAATAAAAGGCCACTCTAACATATGTACACTGTTATACAGGCTGTACACTTACTATTTACATTGCAGTCATTTCTTCAGTGTTGTCACATGAAAAGATATAATAAAATATTTACAAAAATGTATGATATTGTATTTCCTAACAATTATTCTAGCACAATGTAGAAATGAATGTTATGCTCTTAAATAAAAGGTTTTAGTTGTGTTTACCATGACAGGCGCACATTCATATTTGAAGAAATACTATTAAACCTCACATGTTGCAGATTGACACAAGAGTTTGGTATGAATGGACACAGACAATGCTTTGGTCGAAGAAGAAAATCAGTTACTCAAGTGCTCACACATTCATTGATTGGTGTGATTCTCCTGAGCTGTGTGATGTAGATCACATTGATCTAATACTACTGGAGCACAAAATGGAAACAAGCAGAATTAATTGGTGTTATTTTAGCTCTTAAATATTGATTCTAGAAACATAGAATGTGACGGCAGATAAGAACCATTCGGCCCATCTAGTCTGCCCAATTTTCTAAATAAAATTGATTCTGACAAAATAATTAGCCATGATAGATTTTTAGAAAAGTGTTTGATGTTCTAAATAATGTTGAGACCATTGGCTAATCTCTTGCCCGTTTGTCTGTATTTGTGTTGTACATTAGCCTGTATGGGTAAATGCGTTGAGAGGTCTCAAGAAAACGTAGTAAAGTCATTCACAAACTAACAATATTCTACAGCTAATAACCTGATGTGATACTTTTCAGGAAGCATGATGGATTCATGGAAACTATTGTCAAAGGTATGGTTTATAGTTTGTACAGCTTTTGTTTTCAACTATTTGCACCTCGTATTTTCAGAGATTTAAAGATATCATTAGATAGAGACACAGGGAGCTTTATGCCTGTATATGAGCTCCGTTTTTCTAAACTTAAACATACAAAAAGAGAAGATAACAACTTAAGAGGTACCAATCTATTCCCCTCCAATGCTTTCCAAGTGGTTCTCGATACGTTGCCGGTCATAGTCTAACCAAAGTGACAAAACGTTTTGAAAATATCCAGTAGTTCCAATATACCCTGGCCTTGAGTAGTTTCATCATCCCATATGAGCTACTGATTCCATCATCCCTTATCCAGTAGTGTGAATTTAGATATACATTTGTGATGAAATGGGTACCCCTGGAAGTAAAGCTACTGCTTCATACAGGCTAGTATTTCAGATACAAACACAAAGATAAAGCACCGTGCTTACAGTAGCAGTAGCTTAGTATCCAACAGCTCAAAATACATTACCTGTGCTCTGGCCTAAATCGCTATATACATTTAAACAAAATGGAGGCTCTTTTATTCCAATGGCCATTTGAATATAAGCTCACCTACCACGTCAAGGCAAGCCCCAAAAGGTCTTTCAGATACTTCAGATGTTTTTCATATGTTCCCAAAATTGTCTACCTGTAGGGCATACCAACCTTGTACGGGGATAAAAAGTGTGCCCCAGCCCCTACAGTTCTTGCAGCATATATGTGTGCTGACCACCACCATGTGTCAAAGGTTTTTTTTTTGTTTTTTTTAAAGTCAAAATGTTTGTCACTTAATTTTGTGTGTGTGTTTTTTTATTAATATTGGATACAATACAGTGTTACAAGACTCTACAACAGGAAATTCAATATATTTTTCCAATAAATGTAACAATCATATCTGTATGAGTCTTTTTCAGATTGTCTATCTAATATTGTTATATGGGACCCAAAATATACTTTAATGGGAGAATTTAAAAACAAAACTGGAAAAGTGAAAGATGGGCACGTGACTAGGGATAAGAGACCATAACCACTACAGGTCATTGTATTGATTATCGTGCTATGGTCTGGTAGTAGCATAACCAATGCAATAACAAGTAGTGGTTATGGTGCTTAGAACATTCCTTCTATTTGAAATCATTCCAATTCTTTATTTCTTTAAACACTGGTACAATTCACACTTCTGGGTAGCAGGTAAGGCTTAATTGCCGAAAATTGTCTTGTCTACAGGAAACCATGCAGCTTGGATACATTTTGGAGTAGGATGTCAATAATTTACCTGTGGAAGAAACCAGAATGATAGTTAAAATTCAAAGTACGCATAGCATGGTACAGTCTGTGTAGAGACATATCCTGTTCTATTCCAAGAAAAATCTCTAAGCGTCTGCAGACTCTGCACCTTTAGTGGTTGCTGCAATCCATTTACCACAAATGGCAAAGAAGACTAAAAATAAGAAAAAAAACCCTCAACTTCACGCTGGCAGTGTGTGATCCCTTGCGCTGAACCCATATTTCTTCATCTTTTTATATGTCGTGTTTCTTTTGTTCTCGTATTGTATCTAGGACCATAGCCCAGTCTTATAGCTAATACCCACAATAATGGTTCTCCATCAAACTTGATCCAGTCCGTGCAGAAGGATGTTTGATTGGATTGAACAACGTATAGATTAGATGGTAATAATCTGCCACCACGTCAAGCTTGCATGACGGGTGCACTTTAAGACAATTAAAAATATTTGCAGCAATGAATATTTTTAATAGCTAATTGTCCCACATACAGCTCCTAACTTTCCCTAAGGCAGAGTTGTAAATCATTGTACATGGATCACCTGGTTCTAGAATGATTTAAATGGACTGTTTGAAATCACACCACTCTTGGAATCAGGAATCAAAGAACGTAGAAAGTGGTTAAATGACGCCAGGGCGCAGCTGATCAAAATAGACAGAACAAAACGCCATATCGAAACAACTGGGTCCCTAGATAACATTCCTTTAAAACATTGTTGAGCGTTGTGTTGTAAATGCTCAGTGAAGGAAATACTTACAGAGATGTGTTATCATGTGGTTTCAGGCACTGAAACAAGAAAACAAGTTTTAATCTGGCAAGGAATGTGTAGAAAATCTGATCTTTACATGTAAATTCTAGTTCCAGTGCTGTCATACATAATATTAAAGTTTCTTTCTCATCTTCAACTAATGTTATCAACAGATTGCCGATTAGGAGTTAAATCACTTTGTTAAAGTAGGCCTAGTTACACATCTCCTGAATATATATATATACATATATATATATAATTTTTTTTAGCTTCCTTTGTTGCATAATAAGCTTGGGCGCCGTCTAAATTTTTGTTTTGGCAGGAAAACATTTTTTTGCTTTGGCCGAACCGAATTTAGTCTGTTTGCTCATTCGTTTTCAGATTCAATTCAGCCATCATTTTCGTTTCAGAATTTAATTTGGACAAATGAAACTCAGATCTGTGCCGTGGCTGGATCTTGCAGTCATGTAGCAGATAACTACCTACACTGGCACCCTTGTGAGATTGCCATATTTCACTGTACCAAATTAGGAAGCTGTTGAATAGATAGCTCCTTCTATACAGCTACTCCTCACTTACCGACCAGGTTCCGTTCTTACGACTCGGTCGTAAAACTAATTAGTTGGTAAGTGAGGATGCGCTACAAAGCATGCGCACCAGTGCAGGTCTATGTTCGGGGAAATTTCCCTGAACACAAACAAGCGCAGCAGAGCAGGGTATCCCTCAAATCTATGTTTGGTGAAATTTCCCCGAACGTAGACATGCGCACCAGAGCAGGGAATCCCTCTAATCTATGTTCCGGGAAAATTCCCAGAACATAGACCAGCTCTTTAACATGGGGAATTCCTTGAATCCCCATGCTAGAGAGCTGATCGTAAGTGCGAGCCATCGTAAAACATGTAGGTCATAAAGTGAGGACCACTTGTATTTATGGCAATCCCACAAGGATTAGGAAGCTATCTACTAAGAAGTTGAAAGACCAAAGTTACAAAATGCACTTTTTTTTATGATAATTTCGTTCTTTCAGCCAACTTTCCTAATGCGAAGTAAAAAATGACTTAGTATTAGTAAGCAAGAGAGATTAAATCCTACCTCATGCACCTATGTACCAGTGGCTTCTCATTGTCATAAGCTATTGCTGTCCAGTTGCTAAAAAGTTGCTGAAAACTAAATTGAACGCTAACTTTGGCCAGTGTTTGTGACTAAGTGGTTACTAAAAAAGACTGGACATACCCCATTTGCAATACCTTGGGTTGTCTTCTTTTGCAAATGGTATGCCATCATGGGGGGAATTCTCATTCCTGGGCTACCATTTGCTCTCAAAGGCAACGTAACCAACCTGGCCATTTTCAATGTAAAAATATTTGAGTCATATATTTGACCCTGTAACTTTCAAAAACGTTATAAAACCTGTACATGGGGGTACTGTTATACTCAGGAGACTTTGCTGAACACAAATATTAGTGTTTCAAAACAGGAAAACGTATCACAACAATTATATTATCAGTAAAAGGGCTGTTTGTGTGTGAAAAATGCAAACAAAAGTCACTTTCACTGACAATATCATCGCTGTGATATGTTTTACTGTTTTGAATCCCTAATATTTGTGTTCAGCGAAGTCTCCCGAGTAAAACAGTACCCCTCATGTACGGGTTTTAGGGTGTCATAGAACGTTACAGGGTAAAATACAGTGCTAGCAAATTAAATTCTCTGGACTTTCGGCCTGGGTTGGGTTGGCAGGTCCCTCAAATTGCAATCAATAAAATTACTTAATTATGTAAAAATATTACATAAATACGCACGTAGAATTTAAATATAAATGCATTTTTATATATTTGAAGTCTACGTGTATATTTATATATTTATGTAATTTTGTATATGACATATGGATATTTTGTATTTTATTTATTTATTTATACATAGATATATATACAATTTCATTCTAAGTGTATTTTGAGAATAAAATTTCATATAGATATATCATTTTTTTTATTTATTATTATTTTTACATTTTTTTTATTTAAATTACTTAGTATTTGTATTTTATAATAATATTTATAAACAATATATATAGTTATTATATATATTATATATATACGTGTGTAATTTAATTATAAGTGTATTTTTATATTAATATATGTACAGATTAATATAAAAATACACTTCGTATGACATTATATATAGATATAATATATGTCTAAATATCATATATATATATATACAAATATATAATTATAATTTTTTTTAATTACCATTAACCTTTATTTTTATTTTTTATTTTACACTAGCAGGGAGACTGCCTGTCAGCATAGGCAGTCCCCCTGCAGGCAGATACATGAACATCTATTGTGACCATGTGATCACTCTGTTGAGCGATCACATGGCCCCAGGGGTCCTAATCCACCATGGGGAGACTGTCTGGTCTGCTGGCAGTCTCCCCACACTGGGAGCACCACCGATCGCCGCCGGGGGAACGATGGCGATCGGGTAAGTACATCTTACCGTTAGGACGGTTCAGGACCATCACCGGTCGGCAAGGCAAAAATGCCGATGACGGTCCTGAACAGTCCTCGGTCCTTAAGGGGTTAAATAGCAGAGAATTGATGTGTAAGACTCCAGGGGCATGATTAAGGGAACACTATAGTCACCAGAACAATTACATCTTATTGAATTTGTTCTGGTAAGTAGAATCATTACCTTCAGGCTTTTTGCTGGGAATGATTATACTCACCAGAACAAATTCAGTAAGCTATAGAAACATAGAATGTGACGGCAGATAAGAACCATTCGGCCCATCTAGTCTGCCCAATTTTCTAAATACTTTCATTAGTCCCAGCCTTATCTTATAGTTAGGATAGCCTTATGCCTATCCCACACATGCTTAAACTCCTTTACTGTGTTAACCTCTACCACTTCAGCTGGAAGGCTATTCCATGCATCCACTACCCTCTCAGTAAAGTAATACTTCCTGATATTATTTTTAAACCTTTGTCCCTCTAATTTAAGACTATGTCCTCTTGTTGTGGTAGTTTTTCTTCTTTTAAATATAGTCTCCTCCTTTACTGTGTTGATTCCCTTTATATATTTAAATGTTTCTATCATATCCCCCCTGTCTCGTCTTTCCTCCAAGCTATACATGTTAAGATCCTTTAACCTTTCCTGGTAAGTTTTATCCCGCAATCCATGAACCAGTTTAGTAGCCCTTCTCTGAACCCTCTCTAAGGTATCAATATCCTTCTGAAGATACGGTCTCCAGTACTGTGTACAATACTCCAAGTGAGGTCTCACCAGTGTTCTGTACAATGGCATGAGCACTTCCCTCTTTCTACTGCTAATACCTCTCCCTATACAACCAAGCATTCTGCTAGCATTTCCTGCTGCTCTATTACATTGTCAGCCTACCTTTAAGTCATCAGAAATAATCACCCCTAAATCCCTTTCCTCATATCTTGAGGTTAGAACTCTATCAAATATTCTGTACTCTGCCCTTGGGTTTTTACGTCCAAGATGCATTATCTTGCACTTATCCACATTAAATGTCAGTTGCCACAATTCTGACCATTTTTCTAGTTTACCTAAATCATTTGTCATTTGGCTTATCCCTCCTGGAACATCAACCCTGTTACATATCTTAGTATCATCAGCAAAAAGAAATACCTTACCATCAAGACCTTCTGCAATATCACTAATAAAAATATTAAAGAGAATGGGTCCAAGTACAGATCCCTGAGGTACCCCACTGGTGACAAGTCCAAGCTTCGAATATATTCCATTAACTACAACCCTCTGTTGCCTGTCACTCAGCCACTGCCTTACCCATTCAACAATATTGGAATCCAAACTTAAAGATTGCAGTTTATTGATAAGCCTTCTATGTGCAACAGTGTCAAAAGCCTTACTGAAATCTAGGTAAGCAATGTCTACTGCACCACCCTGATCTATAATTTTAGTTACCCAATCAAAAAAATCAATAAGATTAGTTTGGCATGATCTCCCTGAAGTAAACCCATGTTGTCTCTGATCTTGAAATCCATGTGTTTTTAGATGTTCATCAATCCTATCCTTTAACATGGTTAAACTAATTGCCCAACTTAGCCCCTTAAAGGGACACTATGGACACAAGAAAAACTAGAGTTTTTCTTGTGTCCATAGTGTCCCTTTAAGGGGCTAAGTTGGGCAATTCGTGAACCTGTGTTTTTAATCTTTCAGAATTATTTTCTTTCAGGAATTGTACCAGAGGATTGGAGGAAGGTAGATGTGGTTCATATATTCCAAATCCTTGCATGGAAATTATAGACATGTGAGTTTAACTTCTGTGGAAGGGAAAGTCTTTGAAGGGTTATTAAGAGATAATATAATATCCAGGAATACATTGGGAAGAACATTATAAGCAAATATCAGCATATATTTATGAAACATAGGTCATGTCTAACCACACATTAAAGCCCATTAGGTCTTCCACATAGGAAAGCATTGCCTCAATGTTTTCCGATGGGGTTTTCTCCTTGACACTGGATGTTCTCATGCAGAGCGTGAAGATGTCCAATGTCATTTCACATTACAGCCACTAGAAGCAGTCTTAGTACTGAATTGTAAAAATTGCAGTTTCTATAAATCTGCAATGTTTTATTTTGGAGGACTAAGAGGGACACAGCACCCAGATCACTTTAATGAGACAAAGTGTGCATAGAGTGCATACTGTGAGGAAAAAAAAGTATTTGATCCCCTGCTGATTTTGAACGTTGTCCACTGACAAAGAAAGTATCAATCTATAATTGTAGGTGTATTTTAACAGTGAGAGACAGAATAACAAAACATTTTAAAATTCCAGAAAAACGCATGTCAAAAAAGTTATAAATGATTTATAAATGTTCAAAATCAGTAGGGGATCAAATACTGTTTTCCCTCACAGTATAGTGTCCCTTTAAGCAATAACAGCAATATGGGTTGCAAGAAGCAAGTCACAAACCTTGCATATACCACTCAGAGAGATCCAGTAATCACTACACTTGGAGAGATCTACTAACTTCATAATAGAATATTTGTTTTTATAGTATATTGGTCTCTGTATTCCTAATGTGAGACACGTCAACCCATGTATTAATTTTAGCATTACTTACCTTTTTAAATATCTTTTCTCTCCGAGCAAACATTGCAAACAGTATAATGAGTGCTCCCACCACTACTGCTGCACCGATTGCTTCTATTGGAAGTACATCCTTCTTATCTATACAAAACAATGGAAAAAAATATTTATTCCCCTCCATAAAGAAAAGTCACAATGGCACCACTTTAGGATTTACCTCTGGTCCGAGTCCTATTCTTGGATCTACTAAGTCAAGGTTTGGAAATGTTTCAGTCTTGTAATACAGAGTCTGCGTTCAGCTCAGTAACTATTATTTCAGTCCATGAAAGTCTACATATATCACAGTCTGATAGGTTTCATCTTTTTCAGTCCTGTCTCATTTATGTTAATTCTTCTTCCAGTCCCCTTACCTTGTTCTGGTTCCTCACATATCATTCCTCCATCAAGGGGAAGGAGGAGGTGGACAGAAGAAGGGCACAGGAAGAAAGGAGTGACAGAAGATAGGCAGAGGAGGGGAGGTGAACAGAAGAAGGGCACAGGAAGGAAAGGGGACAAAAGTAGGGCATTGGAGGGGGAGGAGGACAGAAGATGGTCAAAGGAGGGGAGGGGGACAGAATAAGAACACAGGAGGGGAGTGGGTGCAGAATAAAGGTACAGATTGGAAGGGGGACAGACGAAGGGCACAGGGGAGGAGGGGGCACAAAGAGAGACACAGAGTCTGGGGAAAAAAACACAAAGAGGGGCTGAAGGGAGGCAAAGAGGGGCTGAGGTGGGACAAAGAAACAGATAGAGGGGCTATGGGGATGACAAAGAGACACACAGATGGACTGGGAGGACCACACAGAAGGGCTGGGGCTAGGAGACACACAGATGGGAAGGGGAATAAGAGACATACAAAACGGTTGAGGGAAAAAAAGATATCCAAAAAGTGGCTGGTGAAAAAGAGAGGCCTGCCAACCAGCCACAGCAGCCAACCAGGAACAGTAAATAAGATGAGAAGTGCCAACTTGGGCTGCGTATCAGAGACCTGCATATTACTATATTGTGAATAAGGGACAGAGTTTTATAGAGAGACAGTCGAGGGGTCATACAAGTATACTGAGCATGCATAGCACACAGAATTGGGTCGAAACCGCTGATTCAATGCCCCTTCTGGTGACGCAGCCGCAACTGAAGTGACGTGTTGACTAAATAGTACAACGTCTCGACCGCCACCGTGTCGCAAAATAATGCATATCTGAAAAGTGTGTCACCAACATGAAACGTTTGCAAAACTTTGCTCTAGACTCAGGTGAACAAGAATACAAAGACAAGAACTTCACAGGACCAGTCTGTATGCATCCAATGACCTCTTAAACCACTATTGTTACAAGTGGATTACCAATCCATCCATTACTGTCAAACCATTGCAAGGTCCGTCTGTGTGTGATGTCTGAATAAAGATGTTACGGATACGGATATATCAGGTGACTGATGTTGCAGAGTATCCCCCCCCTCCCCCCCTTTATTTTGTTCCTACTACTCTCCAAGGCCTTAACCTCTGGGTAAAAGTAAATTTCATAAGGAACGTAAATTTTTTTATTACCTTTTTATTTTTTGTCACCTCAGCCTTTCATATTTTTATTAGGCTAAGACGTTACATGGACCATGCCAATTATGTGTTCATTTTATGACCTCTGTTTGCATTTGCTCCAGAGCCTGGTGTAGTCCTGCCAGTGTTTGGTGACTGAGACAGAGGCTGCCGAACACAACACTCTCCAGGAGAGAGAGGACTGGGGTCAAAAAGATCAACTAATAAATGACATCTACCCACACACAAACACACACCGATACCCATGCTGCTACGCACAGTGTTAAATTGTTCACTTACAGCTGTACACACATACATACAAACAAAGGCATGCACATAGAAGTATAGAAGTAACCTATTCTATGCTAGACACGTGCACACACTACATACACAGATACACAAACTCTATAGGTGTGTTTGTCTATACAACAGTTTTTAAAATCATACGGCCTTGAGATGTAAACATGGCCATGATTTGCTCTCAACTGCTGGGTTTGTATGTATAACTTACATCAACATGGAAAGCCATTGAATGCATGCTTAGTGCAGAGTTGATTGACACTAAATACCAACTACTGGGTGTAAGAAAAATAGAATTGTACATTTTGTAGCAGAGATGGATAAAGAAATGATTTCTAGCTCCTCTGTGTGTTTAAGGCAAGCAGCTTGTGAGATTAAAGATAAACACTAGTTTATTAATAAGTAGTTTGAATTTCTATAATGCTTGCATGGTACTGGCCTTACAATGTATGAACTACAAGCTTGACATCCATACTTGGATTGCCTGAGGACCATTTTACAGTGTCCGTATTTGGATTATGATCCAAAGATAAGCAGTGTCTGATAGTCTGGCTGTTGTGGTTTAGGAGTCCATAATCGACAGTAATTCAATGGATTGTCATTGTCAGTAGCTGGACTGCCAAACACAGGTTGGCAGACTATGACACACTAATGTTTCAAGGGACCTGGAAGCCTCTCTTGGCACCCTCTGACTGTAAATGTGGAGTGCCAAATGGGTACAGAAGGGGAGAAACACACAAATGATTATGTCCCACATCTTTTGCCTCAACTCCTACTAACATAAGCAGTGCTGTGAGTGGTTCCTTAAACATGCACTTATATCACCCTTTCAAACCATGTGATTATAGCTCACACTAGCAGAACTACCAAAAAATGTCTGTATCTATCTCACCTGCTACGTCAAGGTTGAAGCTTCTAGTAAAGTTCATGCCGTTTATAAAAGCCATACACGTATATAAGCCGGCATCTTTTTTCTCTGCCTTGTTGATGGTGAGCTGGAAAGAGTCACTGGTCAGGTACTGCTGGTAGCGGGACACCATGTTGACAAGGTTATCATTTCTTCTCCAAGACATCGCAGCTTGTGGGTTGGCCTTAAAATCGCAAGTCAGTTGTGCAGTCTTCTCAATTTCCACAATCACATTGTCCTCTCCAGTCAGGATGGGGTCAACTGTAACAACATGGATCAAAATGACAGATGGATGAGATTTATTTGCAACCAAATCAATACTTCTTGAGTCCCAATCATCCTTCACTTATGCTGGTGTGAAAAGAGTCAGATAACCAAAAGCTTCAAACTCGCTATATAAGGAATGGAAACAAAATGTACAATATAACGCATACATCTATTTAAAGGGACACTATAGTCACCTGAACAACTTTAGCTTAATGAAGCCGTTTTGGTGTATAGAACATGCCCCTGCAGCCTCACTGCTCAATTCACTGCCATTTAGGAGTTAAATCCCTTTGTTTATGAACCCTAGTCACACCTCCTTGCATGTGACTTGCACAGCCTTCCATAAACACTTCCTGTAAAGAGAGCCCTTTTTAGGCTTTCTTTATTGCAAGTTCTGTTTAATTAAGATTTTCTTAGCCCCTGCTATGTTAATAGCTTGCTAGACCCTGCAAGAGCCTCCTGTATGTGATTAACCCCTTAACGACCTAGGACAGTTCAGGACCGTCATCGGCATTTTTGCGTTGCCGACCGGTGACGGTCCTGAACCGTCCTAACGGTCAGGTGTACTTACCCGATCGCCGTCGTTCCCCCGGCGGCGATCGGCGTTGTGTGGGGAGACTGCCTGCAGCCCAAACAGTCTCCCCATGCAGATTATATATATATATGATATATAAGCATATATTATATCTATATAATAAATGCCTATATATCATATATATAATGTCATACTAAGTGTATTTTTATATTAATATGTACTTATATTAATATAAAAATACACTTATAATTAAAGTACACATGTATATATATAATATATATAATAACTATATATATATTGCATATATAATAAAATACAAATAATAAGTAAATTAAATAAAATAAAAAAATGTTAAAATAATAATAAAAATTTAAAAACAAATATATCTATATGAAATTTTATTCTAACTGTATTTTGATATTAAAATATATATATTTATATCAAAATACACTTACAATGAAATTGTATATATATCTATGTATATATAAATAAATACAAATAATACAAAATATACATATGTCCATATACAAAATTACATAAATAATTATATAAATATACACGTAGACTTCAAATATATTTAAATTCTACGTGCGTATTTATGTAATATTTTTACATAATTAAGTAATTTTATTAATTGCAATTTGAGGGATCTGCCTGCCAACCCACGCCGAAAGTCCAGAGAATTTAATTTGCTAGCACTGTATTTTACCCTGTAATGTTCAACGACACCCTAAAACCTGTACATGAGGGGTACCGTTTTACTCGGGAGACTTTGCTGAACACAGATATTAGTGATTCAAAACAGTAAAACATATCACAGCTATGATATTGTCAGTGAAAGTGACTTTTTTTGCATTTTTCACACACAAACAGCACTTTTACTGATGATATAATTGTTGTGATTCGTTTTCCTGTTTTGAAACACTAATATTTGTGTTCAGCAAAGTCTCCTGAGTATAACAGTACCCCCCATGTACAGGTTTTATAACATTTGTGAAAGTTACAGGGTCAAATATATGGATCAAATATTTTTACATTGAAAATCGCCAGGTTGGTTACGTTGCCTTTGAGAGCGTATGGTAGCCCAGGAATAAGAATTCCCCCCATGATGGCATACCATTTGCAAAAGAAGACAACCCAAGGTATTACAAATGGGGTATGTCCAATCTTTTTTAGTAGCCACTTAGTCACAAACACTGGCCAAAGTTAGCGTTCAATTTAGTTTTTTACTTTTTTCACACACAAACAAATATGAACGCTAACTTTGGCAAGTGTTTGCGACTAGGTGGCTACTAAAAAAGACTGGACATAACCCATATTGAATACCCTGGGTTGTCTACTTTAAAAAAAATATGTACATGTGGGGTGTTATTCAGAGATTTATGACAGATAATAATGTTACAATGTCACTATTGATAAATGTAAAAGAAATTATATTTTGAAACCGCAATATCCTACTTGTACCTATAGCCCTATAACTTGCAAAAAAAAAAAAAAAAGCACATAAACACTGGGTATTTTAAAACTCAGGACAAAATTTTAAATCTATTTAGCAGTTTTTTTCATTCGCTTTTGTAGATGAGTAAAATATTTTTTCAAGTAAAAGTCAAAAAACGTATTTTTTTCAATTTTTCATCATATTTTTTTATTTTATTTTTAAATTAAATTACATGAGATTATATAAATAGTGGTATGTAAAGAAAGCCTTTCTTGTCCTGAAAAAAACAATATATAATTTGTATGGGAACAGTAAATGAGAGAGTGGAAAATTACAGCTAAACACAAACACCACAAAAGTGTAAAAAGAGGCCTGGTCGCAAATGTACAACATCGCAAAAACAGTCCAGTCCTTAAGGGGTTAAAGTTCAATTTAGAGATTGAGATACAATTATTTAAGGTAAATTACATCTGTTTGAAAGTGAAACCAGTTTTTTTTTTTTTTCATGCAGGCTCTGTCAATCATAGCCAGGGGAGGTGTGGCTAGGGCTGCATAAACAGAAACAAAGTAATTTAACTCCTAAATGACAGGGAATTGAGAAGTGAAATTGCAGTGGAATGATCTGTACACTAAAACTGCTTTATTTAGCTAAAGTAATTTAGGTGACTATAGTGTTCCTTTAACAATGTCCTTGAGAAAACGGTTTGTTTTATTTTGGCCCATAAAACAGAAAAATTATTATTTTTATGCAAAAATATGTCACATTTTAACTAGAATAGTTTCTCCATAGCAACATAAGCACACACTATCAGATCAATGTCCTATTTTCTTTTAAATATGTCATTCTTGTAGTATGCCCAAAGGGTGTGCAGTGGCTTATAAAGACCAAAGAGTGAACACCTCATTAAATGTGCTATGGGGCAGATGCCAATCGTGTATATTGGGGAGACCGGGAGAAGACTATCACCACCCAACTATCTCTGTTCCTATCTATCAAGTGTCTTGCCTATTTATTCAAATGTTCCTAAAATGTTCTGCATCTCCAGTGCACCTAGTGTCCATCTAAGTTTTTTCCACAGCACAAGGCATTTACTAGGTTATTTACTAAAAGCAGGAGAAGATGTGAGATGTGACTGGAAGCAGCAGAATGGGACAAGGACAGCCGGACAGAGTTAGCTCTGCTCTTATTTTGGCATCTGAGTCTCCCAAGCTAATACGAGAGGTTGCAACTCCAGGACAACTTCAGGAGGCAAAAAGTATGTCTGGTACAGCGTGCCTTGTGATGGACTTTTCTGGATTTGCTGCCTTTCCAGTGACCCCCAGACTGGCCTTTTATGTTAAAAAATAAATAAACAAAACATTCTCAATAAGCCTTCCAGAGCTGAGTCAGAGGCCTTGCAGCTGGCTTCGTCCCATTTCATCATTTTACCTGCTGACTCCTCTTCGACTTCTCATCCAATGTTTCTCATAGAGAAGCATTGTGGATGAGAAGAGAATGTGCAGCAAGTGCCACGCTACTCCATTCAAACACTCCTCATAGAGAAACATTGAATTCAATCATCTAAAGAAGATTTGATTTCCACACAAAATGGTAAAAATTACCACCAAGTCGGATGCACTCGCTAACTCATTCAGTTTCAAAAAGGGAAAGTGGAAAAGACAAGGTAGTGACTGAAAGCTCTTATAGGAACACTCCGGTCACCATAACAACGTCATCGAAATAAAGTTGTTACAGTGCCAGAATGCCCCCAGGCACTTTCTTACCTTAAGGGGTGAAACCATTCTCAAACAGTTTAACCTCAAGGGCTGCCTCCAGTGCCGGGTCTCCAGATCCCCCAGGTGGCATTCGGTTTCTGAAACTGAGTTTCAGGAAGCATGGAGTGCCATCGGGCAGGGGCGGAGTGGGGAAGGGGAGGCTTATTGGTTAGAGTGGTCACCTGATGCTCTAAGTCAATCAGTAGCTCTCCATTCATAAACAAATGACTCAATTTCAGAAGTTGGATGCAGTCTGGAGGACCTAGAGATCTGTCACTAGAGGCAGCCCAGTTTCCCTGTTAGAAACTGAATGAGTTAACAAATGCATCCGACTTGGTGGTAAACATTTATCAACTTTATTAATCTCTGTTGGGGATGGTAAAACTTTTGGCAACTGGTAATTATTAGTCATTAAAGTAAATTTGTCATAACAGATATAGTCTTTCCGTTTTCTTACCACTAAGTTTTTCAGTTTATTTCCACTAACACTGTTTAAAGCTCCTGTTTTAATTAATTAATGTATTAATTGTAAATCATTTGGAACATTTTTCTAATATTGTAGAATCATTTGTAAACTTATTAAACTAAGTCCTATATTAGATGAAGAAGTGGCATACAGTCAAAGAGAGGAAGGTTTAACATCAGTAAAACCTTCTCCATGTTTCACCATATTCACCAAACACAACATGATCCAAAGACAGAATGTCCGGGGTCAGGGTCAGGTATTTAATGGCAGCATGGAGTACCCAATATTCCTTTCCATTTTATGCACAAACTCATCTTTTTAACATTGTCTCCTCTCCTTTGCTTTTTTGCTGGATTCTGATATCAAGAAGCAACTGGGTTACTAGGAGCAAGCACAAAACGAGTTTTACCCTTGTGTCATGTTCTCTCTTCCATTTTTTTTCTAAAGCGATACTCTTCTCTTCCTCTTTAAACTTCCCATAGTTACTTCTAAAACATATGTGTTTCTGACCATAAAAGGGACACTCCATTGCCCAAATAGAAAGAAATTTGTAAGAAATCACAATTTTGTAGATATCTCCCAAATTAAAACCATCTTGCATTTAATTGTGTTTTTCTTTCTTCGTTGGGGTTATAACTCTTGCCTGCAGCCTTTGCGAGCCTTCCCCTTCTAACCACACTCAGATTTTCTGATGCTGTCCAATCACAGACTTCTCGATGCAGCTCAATCTCAATAAGAAGTCTTTGTAAGACAGGTGCTGTGGGCAAATGCTGCCTCTTGAGTTTGGCTTCACTGAAATAAACAAACCAGGAGGTAACAGGACCTATTGTCTGCCTGGAAGTCAAGGGGTGTAGAAAGTTAGTTTATAAAAATGCTATTTTTTATTTAAATCTGCTGGGATGTCTCTTTAAGACCAGTAAGTGAATTCAACGTGAATTTAAAATATAAGGGCAAAGTAGCCAAAGTGCAAGCATAGCTGGGCTAGAGAAATATTCAGCTTTATTTTAAATTCACTTTGAATTCACCTTGAATTTTCACTTTAGTAAATATCTCTGATGGCCTTAATGGTCAAAAAACACATACATTTCAAAAGTAACTGGAATCTATCAGACCTGTTTTTGGTTCTAGTGGTCAAATCATTATTATTTGTCTTGTTTTACCTATAATGCAGCTTTGCAAATATTTTGGCGCTAAAAAGGTAATAGTAATCGTAATTTGATTTCTGTTTTGGGGAAAAATCCACAATATCCAAGGCTGATTGACTTATGGTATGGCGGCCCTAAAGTAAACTTACTCTGAAGGTAAAATGTAAATGTTATAGATATTTTCTGCAAATAAAAAACCAAAACAAAAAAAAAAAAACAATCTGTGTATAATAATATGATAGTATTCTATTATAATAGTGTTACTATGCCATCAGGGTACGAGTTACTCACATTTGATGTCTAACATTGCAGACACACTGATGGAGGTGTTACTTTTTAACACACATGAGAAGCTCACTTCATTATCTTGAGGAGTTACAGGGAAGATACAGATAGAGCTGGAGTTTACACTGTTTTCGGTTTTAATGTCCACCTGACTTTTTCCACGATACCAAAGAAGGGTCTCATTGCCAGTATTGTTGACCACCTCACATGTTAAGGTAATGCTGTTACTTGTGTTCGCGGTGAGCAGAAAACTGTTTGTGTGGCCATTAATGGACACACCAAGCGCTGTAAAAAGAAAGTTTAAAAACAAGTGCTCAGTACAGTTTACCAGTCATTAATTTGGATTTATATAATCTTGCAGGAATATCTGGCTGGGCCTAACACAAATTACTTCAGAAAGATTGACAATCATAGTTAAGGCCTACACGAGCTCCAGAGAGGGTACAATAAAGAAAGATCAGGATTACTGAGGATAAGGTAAAAGCTGAGTCAATATAAAAAAACCAAGTACTAGAACTAGTTTGCTGGAGTGATATTTAAAGGGACACTATAGTCACCACAACAACTACAGTAGTTGTTCTGGTGAGTATAATCATTGCCTTCAGGCATTTTCATGCACACACTGCCTTTTCATAGAAATGGACACCTCCAAGTGGCCACTCTTTAGATGGCCAGTGGAGATGCTTCCTAGGCAGCACTGCAGTTCCGCGTCTCCACGCTCTGCATGGGGACGCTCATCCTGCCTCCTTTCCTACGGGAAAGCATTGGATTGGCTAAAAATTGGCAATTCTGATGATGTTATCAAGGAGGCTGATTGAGGGGCTGGGCCAGCGCTGGCAGACTCGTGCGGCGCTGGAAATAAGGTACGTTTTTCTTTTTTTCAAGGGGACTGAGGGGGGTAAGCCACCTAAATGGTAGGTTTAACACTATAGGGTCAGGAATACATGTTTGTGGTCCTGACCCTATAGTGATCCTTTAAGTGAAAGTAATGGATTTAATTGAAACTGACAGATGAGGAACAAACTTAAAGGTGACCCACTATTTCCACTAGTTGTTTGGTCTATTAAAGTAGTTTAAATATGATTCTCTCCCTGCTAACCAAGTTGTAACAATTTTAATAGATTGCACTAGAACTGTCGATGTAACTTAGTATATATCATTCACTGTATCAATCATCAAGGCACTCCAACAGTCTAGGGTTTAGACGTTTTCTGATTCTGTTTCTACAACATGCAGACAAAACTTGGACCGCAGATGTGCCACAAGGACTGGGCTGGCAACCAATGCACAATGCACGTTACTGACATTGAAAATTCATAAAATCTGGTTTTTTAGTTACCTGAAACTTGATATGACACAAAAAGGAGCAAGATTAAGGGGAATAGGCAATGCTTCATTCTGAAAGGTCTGAAGGTAGTCTGTAAAAACATGAAAAAATTATGTATGTTCTACATGTTTTTTTCTGGAAAAGTGCTTAACAGAAAATGTGTTAGTCATGTACGTGCCAATAATTGAGGATTTTTAAAACAATTCCAATCTGTGCTTTTATTGAAATTTTACATATATCACTGCAATCACATGTCACAATGTCAGATAAGGTCTACACAATAGGTAACTTGCAAAGCAATTCTAAGACAGGTAACAACATCAAGAAAAATAACAATACCTTAGTTTTTAAAGTTAAATAGACACTATAGGCAACAAAACAATTTTAGCTTAATGAAACAGTTTTGATGTATTGACCATGCCCCTGCAGTCTCACTGCTCAAGTCACCAGAAATCTGCTGGCCGAAACCTGAAGGTTTAATGGAAGGTATAGGACCCATTCGTCATGTATAAAATTAAAAGTGGTGTTGACAGAGGTGAGGCCAAGATGGCCGGACGTGCTTACTCATAGCTCCTGCACATTCAGGCCTAAATTTGGTGTTATATAATTGAGCTGCCTGTAACCATGTGTGAGTGGTGGATTGCAGTTATCTGGTGCAGATTAACGTGAAGCTACCTATCGCTATCTGTCCGATCATAAATCCTATCTTGACTGGCGGCCTGGCGTCTGGGGAAGCATCCGATCCCCCGATGTGGGACTCACTTTGCAGAGAGACTCTCCTGCTACCCCATTGACCACCCCCTCCTCCCCCCAGGATCGGTGGAGTTCATCCCGGTCCCCACTGGTGAAACACACCCTTGTAGAGCCATGGAATTTCCTGCCGAAGCAGAATACATGTGGTGAACCTAAGCTTGCTGGTGCGCCACAACCTCCACAGTCACAGGAGGGTTCAGATGTCTCCAGTTGGAGAGAGCCCTTTCAGTCTCAATTTAATCAGATCTGCAAGGAGTTTTATAGACGCATCTCTCGCAGACCTTGCTTCTTCCTGTCCTGCTGGAAAACAGTGATGCAGCGCTGGCTTGATAACCTTGTTCTGGGCTGATGTCCCATCTGGAGATATCTCCAATCAGCCGTCCAAACGCCCGGACAGGCCTCCGAGTTCTGGTGCACCTTCGGGCTCATGGTCCTACTGAGTTGATCAGGAGGGCCCTTCAAAATACGGTAGTGACTCCCTACAAGGCCTGGGTTTAGGGGAGGGAAGATTTCTGGAACAGCAGTCTCATCCTGGATCAACAGCATGTTACCCAGCTTGCTTATAGGACTGTTTAGCAGAATGAGGTGAATCCTTACCCAGTGTGGAGATGGGTTAAATAATGCGGCCTACTCGTGGCATTGGATAAGCTATGAGGCAATGAAAGGGGAGTCTCTGCCTGACTTTAGGCACCAGCTTGTTTGTATAGTGCAGGGATTCCTATTTTTTTCATTTCCTTTGATTTTATAATGTGAAAAAAAGCTATATCAATTTGTTGAAACATTTAGCTTGTTTAACCTCCATTACCCATCTATGTCTGATTTATCTATGTCATGTCTGGAGGGCCTTCTTTGTGTCTGAGCTTTGTAATTGGTTTTTACTTAGACATGTTGGCTTAGCCTGATTTACAAAGCTTTTTTATCTCAGCCTTTATGTCTAGAGAGAGTTCAATGTCTCAATAGTGAAGCACCGTGTCGCTAACCTTGTAGGCTTAGCATGTTGTTCTACTTAGATTTATCATGTTTTTGTTGTTGTTTTTTTTTTTTATTCTTTATTTTTGTTGTGCACAAATAACAATCAGTCGTACCCTGCCGCATCAGCAGGAGCAACAGTATAAACACATATAACATGACCGTGGCATTCGATATGCCTGCACATTTTAAAAACAAATGCTCAGTACTCGGTGCATACAAAGAACGTTTGGAACAGTGGTCTGTCTTACAGTTGTACAGTTCATTTGCAGATTTTATATTGTATACAGAAATTGAAAAATCGACTGGGTTATTAAAGCAGAATAACTTGTGTCTTTGCTTTGTATATCCATTGATAGAGCATGTTTGTAGACAGTGTAGTGTTTAGCCAGAAGGGGCATTGTATAGTTGTGAAAGTGGATGCTTGCACCCCATTTGTTGTTTTTTTAAGTGCAATATTATCTTTTTATGCTACACCTCTGTTGTTTACTATAGTATATACTCGTGTTAGGAGGTCTTTACCAGCTTGTATGTTTTGCTATGCAAGCAAAAAAAAAAAGTGGCGTTGAAAAGTATCGGAATGGAGGAAAAGTGGCTTTGCCAACATTCATGGCTCCATTAACATGTCTATAAATATTAGATATAGCATTGTACTTTCCATAAACGTTCTGGAAAGTACCCAGACAGGTTGATGTCATTTGTTTATGACTATTCTTTCTTCTCTAGTTAAAAATGCTTAATGGTATTTTCTATGAACTAACATATATGTTGCTTAAAAATTATGTTTTGGACACTGCAGCCTGTAACATACACACACACACACACACACACACATACATATACATATATATGTGTCCGAAAGTTTGTGGTGAGACCAAAAACAATATAAATCCCCACAGTGCTATTAGAGAAATTATTGTTGCATCATCTGCATATTTCAAGTTGGACTTTGGAAAGAAACCCAAGCAGTAATTTTTCCACAGTTACCCCAGAATTCCAAGCTTGATATGCAAATGAGCACAGAGATACATTGTGTTTTAGATATCACTCTCCCTTAAACCCTCACTGCAGAGTTTCGACCTTTTAGGTCTCTTCAGCATGGCATACCCCTAAACACTGTCTCATACCTAGAAAAGGGATACTGATAGGAGGGGATTAGGGGGCTAGGCCATTGACACAATTGTATAATTTGCCCTGCCCAAAAGCATAAGCACTGATCTGCCTGCCAGTCAAGAATTCCAGCCCACTGAGGGTCCAAGTGACCTTAGCGTAGCATAAACTCATCTAATAATGCGCTCACACACTACACATAAAAGCAGGACACCAGGGAACTAAGTCAGGCTGGTGGGACAATCGGCACTGCCCCTCTGAATTGCGAATGGTTTGGAGGCATAGTGCCAGTTCTGGTCTGGAAGCTGAAGTCTTTTTGATAACACAAAGCTAGGTGCCAGAAAAATTGTGGTGAGACAAAACCCAAAACACAATAAAGCTCCCCCCACAATGCCGACGTCATCCTGATCAGATCAAGGAAGTCTAAACTGTGCGATCCATGGGTGGTTTCTGATCTCCTGTTAAATCACAACCCGTATTTGCTTTTTTGTTTTTTAAAAAAGGTACCTGCAGAAATGCAGGGTGAAATCTGAAACACAATGTCTGTCTGTGCTCATTTTAATGTCAAGCTGTGCCCAAGGAGGACTATATATATATATGTATATATTTATATTTGTATCCACAAAAATGTAAAAAATTCTCTAGAAATTCTCTATAATTCTCCACATCTCACTAATCAACCTTGCTTCCACTCCTTCAACTGTGTCACGTAAAAAGCCAAGTATCTATTGTAAATTCTTTCCCATATATAACATACATCTTACCCTCACTTGTCGCATCCCTTTACCCCACTCCCCCTTGAATGTAAGCTTGTTCGAGCACCTTCTGTCTCTGTACGTTCAACTTGTCTTGTTGCTACAACTTGTTTGTTAGCCCATGTATTGTACACTGCTGTGTAATTTGTTGGCACTTTATAACTAATAATAATAATAATGAATAAATATACTTTGTACAGTTGGACTTATTTCAGTCGCATAAATACAGATAGCAGATAATACCATTAATAGCACATACACATAAATAACCCTGATCCCAATAAATTATGGGCGCAGAGTTCCACTGCTAAACAGACAACAATTAGCTGAAAACGTCTACCATAAATGACAAATTTGCTTCATATTTCCTAGTAATTTGGTTATAACACAATATGTGTTTCCCACCCTTACAATTACAGCCTTACTGTTACTGAATTTTATTTATTTCTTGTGAACTATACAAGAAGCGGTTTCTATTTTGTTTGTTTTTATTTGGCAACTGATTTCCAACAAATATTTTCCCATTGTATATATCACATGCTGTATATAGTTATCTGTTTATTATTTTTTCAAATCTGTGTTTGCTAAAAGGTCCTAATACAAGCCAGTGAAGCATATTAAAACAGCATCAGTTAAAACATTATACAGTGATGTATAGTCATATAACATAATGAGATGTTTTACATGTCCAGGCGCATGTTATGGTTCAAATAGTGTTGCCATAATTTTATTAGAGATGCAGAAAAAAATACTTTTGAGCCACAGTGGTTAAAATAAAACTCTGGAATCTGTATTTGTATATGTCTCTAATTTATCTTTTTATATGGTAGCCCATGATTACTGTTAAACATATTCATAAACACCATAAACAAGTTAAATGCCTCCACTGGCTCCGTAATTACCAGATATAAATATCACTGAAAGTTTATGGGATGTGCTTAAGAGCAGAGTTTGAGGAATATTCCAAACTTCTTCATCCTTGAGACTTTTCTTTCTCTTTTTTAATAACATTTATTCAAGACATGCCATATCATCACGTCTACACCTGGTGTTGTGTTGACAACAAAGTTGAGAAAGAATATACAGTATAGAAGAGCTGTTTGGCTCAGACATTAATAGAGAATTTTTGTCTTGAAGAATAACGCAAAATCACTACGGGAGTGAAGACCGAACGAGCCTGTTTGGAAAGAATATGCTGTCCTAACTCCATATTAGATCTTTATTATTGATATATTGTTTTATTTGACCTTATCATGCTTTCTCTCTACACACAGAAAAATTCTTAGATTAGTGCATACTTTACTTACCTTATTAATGTTTTACAGTTTTTCTTCACAATTTAAAATGTTGGTTATTTCCAAGTATTTTGTTCCAACTTCTTGATTAATAATTGTAATTCCCCTACCTATCATGCTATCTTAGGGCAGAATATGTCTTTCTTACCTCTTAGGTGCTGGGATTGTTCTTAGCTGTCAAAGAGAAATGAATGTTGTTCGTGTCAAAAGCTATTCTTATTCACTTTAAATTCTTTATGGACGTCAGGTTCAATGCCTGAGAAGTTACAGGTCAAGGTCTGCAATGTTTTATGGATTCTGGGTAAATATAAAACTGCACTCAAGGAAAGCATTCCACATTGTTAAGTAGAGACAAACCTGTTTTCAGTCTCTTTAATGGTACTGGGTAGGGCACTTATGTCATGGTGATTCCATATATATTTGCTGTCAAAATATTTCTGTGTCTTTCACCTCTGTGATTTCACATGGGACAGTGTGTTGTGTTCTAGACAGTACACTATGTTTTTTTAAAAATCACGACAGAACTTACCTGTGTTCCAGCTTCGGGACAGACTCTTCACTGAAGCCTGGGTCTTCTCTGTGAGATCATCAACATTGATCATAGTGTCCAATCACATACTTCTCAAAGAGAAGCATTGAGAACACATAGCGTATCTGTGGCAAGCACTGTGATCCGCCAGTCTTCTCCGATGAAGCTATTGACGTGCACACAGAGTGTGCCCAGTGACACTGTAATGAAGATCCATTTTTTTAAAGTTGTTATTTTCTGTTTTTGAAGAATTTTTTTTTTATATATCAGACACAAGTCTTATATTATGCTGAAGTCTTCATTTTCTATTCCATAGCAGCAAATAAACAAGTTTTATTAAAGCTCTTCTCCATCTCACACAGGACAAGTTTGTTGACCGCACATATAGGGAAATACAACAGGAAGAAATCATAGAAAAATGCACATTTATTGAAGTAAAAAAAGAAAATACATATGGCAAGATACTAGAACAGCAGTCCTCGTTTAAGAGCTATATTGGTCCAAGCATGTGAAAGATGAAAAACAAGTTGTGAGTGAACAAAGTATAAAAAGTCCAAAACCTCAGCATAGGACCACTTGCAGCAGCTGTACAAGGGGAGAGACCACCAAAGAAGTCCACCCTAAAGAAAAATTAGAGAAGCCCTGGACGCGTTTCGCACTACTCCGGGTGCTTTCTCAACATGGGCATTCTATAGGATTCCTAAGATTTATAAAGGAAGAGGATGTGCAAAAGGGCTGGTCTATTGAGACTCACACTCTTAATAAACTGATTGAAAACCCCACCTTTTACACCCTTTCAATTACAGAATAATCAGATCACTGTATTTAGAGTTTCCTTAGAGTTAGCTTGAACCAAAACAATATAAGAACTAAACAGGCAGGCAGGAATGACAAGATATAAAGAGAAAGAAGAAGAATTATATATGCCTTATTTCCTGATTAGAAGGAAACAAAAATAATGAAGTCACTCAAACCACAACAAAGTGGGTGAGTGAAAGCTAGATAGTATGTAAGTATCTTGTTTAAATACCTGTTATATTTAGCTGGACCACCACTAAATGTACATATATACACACACACGTGTCTCAAAACTAGAAACAAAGTAAGAAAATGACTAGCCTTATAAGGCTTCTCCACTAACTCATAATGGGACCATAGGGTCATCCAGTAAATTGCTTAAACTAATGGTAGCTTTAGATTGCTTGTTTTAGCCCAGGATTTGCCCTGTCCCCAATCTAGATTAACATAACTATACCAGGGTGAGAGTAAATACCTTATTGGTGGGAGTATCCGAGACCAATAAACACAATATCTAAGGAGTAATATACAGTCCTTACAAAGGTTAATTAGAAAGTGTGTAGGACAGTAAGATAAAAAGCCTCTCTGCCTGGTAAGCTAGCTAGATAGAAACATAGAAACATAGAATGTGACGGCAGATAAGAACCATACGGCCCATCTAGTCTGCCCAATTTTCTAAATACTTTCATTAGTCCCTAGCCTTATCTTATAGTTAGGATAGCCTTATGCCTATCCCACGCATGCTTAAACTCCTTTACTGTGTTAACCTCTACCACTTCAGCTGGAGGGCTATTCCATGCATCCACTACCCTCTCAGTAAAGTAATACTTCCTGATATTATTTTTAAACCTTTGTCCCTCTAATTTAAGACTATGTCCTCTTGTTGTGGTAGTTTTTCTTCTTTTAAATATAGTCTCCTCCTTTACTGTGTTGATTCCCTTTATATATTTAAATGTTTCTATCATATCCCCCCTGTCTCGTCTTTCCTCCAAGCTATACATGTTAAGATCCTTTAACCTTTCCTGGTAAGTTTTATCCCAAAATCCATGAACCAGTTTAGTAGCCCTTCTCTGAACCCTCTCTAAGGTATCAATATCCTTCTGAAGATACGGTCTCCAGTACTGTGTACAATACTCCAAGTGAGGTCTCACCAGTGTTCTGTACAATGGCATGAGCACTTCCCTCTTTCTACTGCTAATACCTCTCCTATACAACCAAGCATTCTGCTAGCATTTCCTGCTGCTCTATTACATTGTCTGCCTACCTTTAAGTCATCAGAAATAATCACCCCTAAATCCCTTTCCTCAGATGTTGAGGTTAGGACTCTATCAAATATTCTGTACTCTGCCCTTGGGTTTTTACGTCCAAGATGCATTATCTTGCACTTATCCACATTAAATGTCAGTTGCCACAATTCTGACCATTTTCCTAGTTTACCTAAATCATTTGTCATTTGGCTTATCCCTCCTGGAACATCAACCCTGTTACATATCTTAGTATCATCAGCAAAAAGACATACCTTACCATCAAGACCTTCTGCAATATCACTAATAAAAATATTAAAGAGAATGGGTCCAAGTACAGATCCCTGAGGTACCCCACTGGTGACAAGTCCAAGCTTTGAATATATTCCATTAACTACAACCCTCTGTTGCCTGTCACTCAGCCACTGCCTTACCCATTCAACAATATTGGAATCCAAACTTAAAGATTGCAGTTTATTGATAAGCCTTCTATGTGCAACAGTGTCAAAAGCCTTACTGAAATCTAGGTAAGCAATGTCTACTGCACCACCCTGATCTATAATTTTAGTTACCCAATCAAAAATCAATAAGATTAGTTTGGCATGATCTCCCTGAAGTAAACCCATGTTGTCTCTGATCTTGAAATCCATGTGTTTTTAGATGTTCATCAATCCTATCCTTTAATAGATAGTTAGTAGAGACAGAATAAAAAGAGTGAGAGAATAATTAAATCAATGAAAATGCTGCAAGGACACAGGCATGGTAGGGATGCCTTCAGATGCCACTAGTCGGCCTTTGAGTTTGGACCAGAAATCCAAGAGCAGCCTGTCTAATCTTTCCAGGAAAAGAGAGCATGTGGATCGGGATTCGGGCAGGCACATGGCATGCGCCATTTTGGGAGGGACGAGATCTCTGTAGCTTGACTGCAGATGCTGATAGGCGCCCACCGTAGCCCCAGATATGTATGCCTTGATATCCTGGGACCTGCAAGAGGTATTTGGTGGTGGGATCGGCCACATCCCCTTCACTAGCTGTTAGTAGCCCGCGGGTCTGATCCGCTTCAGATCCGCCAAGCATGACTGGACCAGCCACTGGTCGCACTCCACTAAAGCCCACAAGATTATATCTCCGGCTCACACTGGTAAGAATCGTCGAATCCGAGCAGCAAGGCTCCAAAAGCAGCTCATTAGTTAGCTTTTGCCTCAGGGCTCTCTTGATATACATCTTATCCTCATGGAGGTCAGCCTCAGCCCCCTGATTTTTTATCATGTTTTTGGTGTATTTATGGATCATTTTTGGATTTTCTAATAAAGTTTGTTGATTTTTTACATAGTGTGTAGTAAATTGTGTTGTATGTATTTAGCCCTGAAGGAAAACTTGGTATTTATAGTGAGCACCTGTCTTAATTATAGTATTTTTTTGATTTATTTTGAGTTCCTTCCATTATATTAACTGTTACTCTCTAATTAATTAGCCAGTTCCCGAACTTGGCAACATTTAGCTCAGATTCTCATCTCTATCTTCCCCAGTGCTTCTGGCATCTTGCTCTCTTCACTCCATCGCCCCCTAGTGGTAAATGCGTTTTTGTGTGTACAGATTACTCTTACACTGATTAGATTTGTTATGCATTTCCTCCGTTCTTTTCACTAGTTTAAATGAAACCAGCTCAGAGGATTGCACTCACACTCACAGGGACACACTGCCAGGGCCAGATTAAGAGCCCAGTGGGCCTGGTGCTGACAATTCTGGCGGGCCTAATTACAGAATCATATCGACCAAAAACAGTAAAACACTCATAAGCATCATGTATCTGATGGAGATGGTGCTGGAGAGAAAGAAAACAGCAGCTATAAGAAAACATATACCCTAGGCTAATCTCTCTCTAATTTATGTTTTCAGCTTTCAAGTAAATCCATAACCTCTAACAGCAACGTCCAATCAAGCAGGAAGTCAATGGGCACGGTAAAAGGGTTTGCCACTGACACAAATCACGTAACCTGCCAAAACGGGCAAACATGCCCAAAAAGAGGACATTTCTGCTCAAAGAATTAGAAGGCCAGCCTGAGATGAATGCATGTCAGGCTGCCTGCCAATCATGCAGCCTGAGCTTGGCATAAATGCATCTAATGATGCGCTCACTCAGCGCTTTCTAAGGACTGTCCCCTAGCACTCGCTGGTCCACTTGTCTCCTTACCAGCAGGCAGAAGATCCTGGTATATGGTCTGGGAAAGAGTAAAGCTATATGTAGTGAGTGTAGAAGAAAGGGAACATGCCACAGTGTTAGAGACCAAAGTCAGCATTACCTTAAAGGATCACTATAGGGTCAGGAACACAAACATGAATTCATGACCCTATAGTATTAACACCACCATCTAGCCCCCCTGGACCCCTCATGCCTCCATAAATATAGCAAAATCTATATTCAAGCCTGAAGCTGTAACTCGGCATGCTGTTAGACTCATAAAAACAAGCAGTCTGCTGACATCATTAGAAGTGGTGGCCTGATCCAATCACAGTGCTTCCCCATAGGATTGGCTGAGACTGACAAAGAGGCAGATCAGGGTCAGAGCCAGTATGATTCAAACACAGCCCTGGCCAATCAGCATCTCCTTATATAGATGAATTTCATTAATGAATCTCTATGAGGAAAGTTCAGTGTCTGCATGCAGAGGGAGGAGACACTGAATGTTTGGATGCATTTTAGGCAGCCATGACCCAGGAAGGATCTCTAACAGTCATCTAAGGAGTGGCCAGTGAAGTTATCACTAGGATGTAATGTAAAGACTGCATTTTCTCTGAAAAGACAGTGTTTACAGCAAAAAGCCTGACGGTAATGATTCTACTCACCAGAACAAATTCAATAAGCTGTAGTTGTTCTGGTGACTATAGTGTCCCTTTAACTATATTCATTGTCAGACAGTCCACACAAGTTTTGTTCCCATACATCCCACTTAAGTTTCCATACTTAAGTAAGAGTATGTGAAAAGTAGTTAGAGTTGCCACCTTTCTTGGAAAAACATACCGGCCTTACTAATTTGCATAATTAAATATGTATGGGTGACATCACATGATGTAAATCACAAGGAGTGATATAAGAGAAAATGCTGTAAAATCACCAAAAATCTACTTAGTTTGATTCTGCTGTATAGATGGATTCCTCCCAGTGCCCCCATGTCTCCCAGTGCCCTCATGACTCAGTGCCCCCATGTGTCGATTACTCCAGGTCTCAGTGTTCCTATGTATCAGTGTCTCAGTGACCCATGTCTCCCAGTGTCCCTTAGTGTCTGCCATAATGTCTCTTAGTGTCTCAGTGTCTGCCATAATGTCTCCCAGTGTCCCTTAGTGTCTGCCATAACGTCTCCCAGTGTCCCTTATTGTCTGCCATAATGTCTCCCAGTGTCCCTTAGTGTCTCAATGTCTGCCATAAATGTCTCCCAGTGTCCCTTAGTGTCTCAGTATATGTCTCCTTGCAGCCTTTCCCCCCATCCCTTACTTCCCTGAGCTGTAGGCTGTCTCTGCAGGGTGGGAGTTGCTGTCTGGACTCTCTGTAACTGCACCCCTGCAGAGCAGTGAGTATAGATAGGCAGGGACGGATATGCTGGAACTTCCTATCCCTGCCTGTCTCCACACACAGCGACCCCTACTGGCCAGTGCTGGTATTGCAGAGTAATCTCTTGTTTATACTGATAAAAAATACCAGCATTTGTATTGCCAGTATAACTGCAATATTGGCACCGCCAGGCAGCCCCAAATACTGGCTGTGCCAATAAAATAAAAGCCAGATGGAATCCCTAAGAGTAGTGTGAAAAAAAATAATAATTTTTTTTTTTTTTTTTTTAAATCAATGGGCCTATTCCATGGGCCTGGGCCTGGAGCTGCAGCTCCATCAGCCCCTATGTTAATCCGGCCCTGCACACTGCACTCACACTGACACACTCACAGAAACACACTGAAACACTGCACTGACACACTCACAGAGACACACTGCGTTCACACTGACACATTCACAGAGACACACTGCGTTCACACTAACACACTCACAGAAACACACTGAAACACTGCACTGACACACTCACAGAGACACACTGCGTTCACACTGACACACTCACAGAAACACACTGCGCTCACACTGACACACTCACAGAAGCACTGCACTGACACACTCACAGAAACACACTGAAACACTGCACTGACACACTCACAGAGACACACTGCGTTCACACTGACACATTCACAGAGACACACTGCGTTCACACTAACACACTCACAGAAACACACTGAAACACTGCACTGACACACTCACAGAGACACACTGCGTTCACACTGACACACTCACAGAAATACACTGCATTCACACTGACAAACTCACAGGGACACACTGCACTCACAATGACACACTGCACATACACTAATATACTGACAGGGACACACTATACCCACACATTGACACCCTCACAGGTAAACTGCCCTTAGGAGCCTAGAGAGAGGGGGGGAATGAGACACCTGGATGAGCTCGGGGGAGAATGAGACATATGGAGGGGCTGGGGAGACACAAAGAGACATAGAGGGGCTGGGGGAGAAAGAAACAAAGTGCTGGAGGAAGAGACACACAGATGGGCTGGAAAGGGGAGAAAGAGGCACACAAAAGGGGCTGTGGAGAAAAAGAGACACGGAGGGGCTGGGGAAGGAGCAAAATAGCAGACATCCCAATCCAACATTTTGCATGCGGCTCCCTCACACCTGCAGAGCATGTTTAATATCCCGGAAATCACACACACAATCTGACATACAATGTATATAAGATAGTGTGTGTTGGTTTCAAGGATATTATACATGATTTGTGCCCCCCTTCCATCATACTAAGCAGGGGCTGGTGGGGTGCTGGTACTTTAAGAGCGCACTATCAGCCGGCAGGGAGGAAGCAATATCAGCCTGTCACTTTCTCCCTGCTTCACAGAGAGCCTTACAGGAGGACTGGAGGGAGGAGGCAGCATGGAGGCAGCAGAAGAGAGGCTGGAGTGAGCTGCTACTGCATGCTTACTCTCAGCCAGGACCAGAGCATCAAGCAAGCCATCCTCCAGGATTCAAAGGTAAGCTAACAGGAGTGTCCCTGTATCTCTTTCTCCTCATCTGAATTTCATTCAATTCGCCTTTTCAAACCCATCTCTGCTAACATTGTTGTTATCTATCGTACCGTTGGTTCCCCTCTCCTCTTCCTTGAGCACTTTGCTTGCTTGGCTTCCCTACTTCCTCTCCTCTAATATTCCATCCCTAATTCTTGGCGACTTCAACATTCCCATTAACCTACCCTTGTCCTCAGTAGCCTCAAAACTGCTTTCAATTACTTGGGCTATGTACCCCACCCATGTAGCTGGCAATACCCTTGATCTTATTTTCTCTCATGGATGTACAGTCTCTAATCTCTGCAACACTTCATTTCCTCTCTCAGATCACCACCTCTTATCATTTGCTCTCAATAATACCCTACCCCATCACCCTCAACCTAACCCCCTACAACTAATAAGAAATGTAAATTATATTGACCTCCAGCAGCTATCAGCTAATATTGATTCCCAACTTCTATCCATCCCTACTTTCTTCTGTCCCTCACTGGCTATCTCCTCATATAACACTACCCTCACCTCTGCCCTGGACGATGCAGCCACGCTTCAAACATGCACCTTGAGGAGAACACGCCCCCAACACAGCACACTAAATTAATACGCTACCTGCAGAGATGTTCCCGTTCTGAAGAACGCTTCTGGAGGAAGTCACTCACCCAGTCTTACCTCCTCCACTACAAATTCGTGTTGCGTTCATACAGCACAGCCCTTGCCCTTGCCAAGCAGCAATACTTTTCCTCCCTCATTAGTTCATGCTCCCGCAATCACAGGTGTCTTTTTAATACCTTTAACTCCCTTCTTTGGCCACCCCCCAAACTAACCTTATAGCCGATAGCTTTGTATGGTACTTTACTGACAAGATTGAACAGCTAAGGAAAGAGTTCTCACCAGCCTGTCCCTCTCTTTCTCAACCACACCTAGGTCATGCCTTCACTACCCTTTAGACTTTCTCCCAGGCTACTGAACAAGAGGTGGCTGTGCTTCTCCTTTCCTCTCGACCCACCACTTGCCCGCTTGATCCCGTCCCATCTCACCTTATCAGATCTATTTCCTCTTGTCTTGTGCCTTCCTTAACACACATCTTCAACTGCTCTCTCTCTTCTGGTGTTGTCCCTGCTGCCCTTAAACATGCGACTGTACCCATCTTAAAAAAAACATCTCTTGACCCGTCCTCCCTTTCTAACTTTCATCCCATATCCCTGCTCCCTTTTTCCTCCTTGACCGTCTTCAGTCTGGCTTCTGCCCCACCTCCACTTTACTGAGACTGCTCTTATTAAAGTTACTAACGACCTAATCGCAGCTAAATCCAAAGGGCTCTACTCTATACTAATTCTTCTTGACTTCTCTGCTGCCTTTGACACTGTTTGACCATGTTGTCTTTCTCCAAACTCTTTAATCACTCGGTCTCTGTGCCACTGTTACCAAATCCTGTAGATTCCACCTTAAAAACATAGGCTGCATCTGCCCCTTTCTTACACAAGATGCTCGCACCCGTATAGCCAACTCACGCTTGCAGGACTTCTCGCGGGTGGCTCCTTTCCTTTGGAATAGCCTGCCTACGACCATCAATCTCTCCCCTACTCTTCAATCATTCAAAAAGTGCCTCAAAACCCATCTCTTTAGGAAAGCTTATGGCCTCCAAGAGTAACTTCTACCTCACATACCTGTCCCTTGCTCTCTCCAAAAGGGCAGCACTCTATTCTCTCCTCCAGCTCTTCTTCACTCCACCTTGTTTGATTGCTACTTCCTGTCCTGTTGGGTTTAACCCCCCTCCTCCTGTAGACTGTAAGCTCGTTTGAGCATCATAGGCCCCCGGGCAAAGCAGTGCACTGGGGTCCCTACCTACACAACAATTTACAGGAATAAAATTGTAAATTATCGACAGACAGACTGCTGAGTACAGACACAGACAGACTGCTGAGTACCTACACACAGACTGTTGAATAAACACAATCAGACTGTTAAATACACATACAGACTGCTGAGTATACACACAGACTGCTGAGTAAAGACACATCGACAGACTCCTGAATGCTAAATACACACACAGACTGCTAAATACACACACACACACACACAGAGACTGCTGAATACACATAAATACACACACACAGAGTCTGCTGAATACACACAGACTGCTGGATAGATACACACAGTCTGCTGAATGCACACAGACTACTGGATACACACACATACCGCTGGATACACACACACACAGACTGCTAAATACACACGCACTTCTGAATACACACACAGACTGCTAAATACACACACACAGACTTCAGTCGGGGGTGCAGTGTATGTGTGTGAGGCGTGCTGTGTGTATTTGTAAGTGGTGCTGTGTGTGAGGGGTGCATAGTGTGTTTGTAAGGGATGCAGTGTGTGAGGGGTGCTGAGTGTGTGTGTCTCTGTGTGTGTGTGTGAGGGGAGCAGAGTGTGGGTGTGTGTGTGAGGAGTGCAGAGTGTGTGGAGTGGTGCTGTGTGTGTGTGTAGCACTGAGCCTCCTTTAATGATGTCGGTTGAGGCTGGATACTAATCCTGCCATCCATTCATTGGCTGACATTGCTCAGCTGACAGAATATACACAGGATTCACATTAGCCAGCCTGGAATTTGTTATATTATGAAGTGTTTTATACTGATACACTGCACATATAGGCTCCTTGCACCATGACCTATTCAAAGCAAAATGGTCATAATTCTGATAAACAGCCACTAGAGGAGGACTTAACCCTGCAAGGTAATTATTGCAGGGTGGTGGGAGTTGGCACCCAGACCACTCCAATGGGCAGAAGTGGTCTGGGTGCCTGGAGTGTCCCTTTAATAGTAAGTAGATACATGCTGGGTGTGTCTGTGGTGTCCTTGCTCTGCTTGCCATGCTAGGAGACTGTCTGTTTAACTGTTGCTGGTCTTTCCCATTTGGTCTGTTGCTGTTTGAACTGATTCAAATGGAACAGAAGGGACAGGTGAACACAGGCCGTCAGATAACAGAGTGTCCCAGTACCTGGCTCCCTAACATCACTCAGCATTGTAGAAGGTCTTATTGGAGCTAAAGCAGCTCTTTACTCACACTGCAAACCACCATTTTAAAACCACATCTTAATATAGCGACTGGCTAGCAAACACTGATAAGCTGCCGTATGGTTAACCCTCGCACAATGCTAAGATTTTGTTTTACTATTTGCTAGCCATGTAACTGAGCACCTGTACTCCAACCAAGTACCTCTGCCCAATCCGCTTTCTAGCCGTTGGGGAGGAAGCCTGGAATGTTTCAGCCCCAGTTGCCAAAGCTTGACTGAAGTCTCTCCAGAACACTTTCACCCGACCTTCCAGGCAGGTATTGTCCACTGCCTATTCCTCTGCAGCTCTACTTATAGTGATTGCTCATGTCTTTACAAAGACACTTGCGGCTCTCAGGCCTAGCTCTCTTGATTGCCCCAGGGCTAGAGGGATCATGCAGCCAGCCTAAAGGTTTGAATACTCTGTTACTGGAATCCCTTAAAATCCAAACACAACACACAGTTCCAAAAGAAACTAACATACAAAACTATTTTTGGGGGACAAGGACTAGCCTTTGGGGACTAGTCCTTAAACATGTGGTGATAAACATTTAAAATACAAATACATAAAACATTAGCAAATTAGCAATTCAAATTAATACATGAACTATATAATACAAATACTGGATACTGTATCTCCAGAAGGATATTGATACCTTAGAGAGAGTTCAGAGACGGGCTACTAAACTGGTTCATGGATTGCAGAATAAAACTTACCAGGAAAGGTTAAAGGATCTTAACATGTATAGCTTGGAGGAAAGACGAGACAGGGGGGATATGATAGAAACATTTAAATACATAAAGGGAATCAACACAGTAAAAGAGGAGACTATATTTAAAAGAAGAAAAACTATCACAACAAGAGGACATAAAAGAGGCAAAGGTTTAAAAATAATATCAGGAAGTATGCGATCGCAGGGGTCGCTGCTGCGACTGGGCCCGGCCCACCAGGGGGCCTGGCCACCCTGCGACCCGGGTATGTACGCCAGTTCCAGGAGCTGGCCACCTCAGGGCCCCCCGGGGCTGGCAGTGGTGTCACCTGGCAGGCACGCGTGCACGCGAGGGAGCATTCTTCCCCTGAGCACTCTCTGCCTAGCTCTCTCACGCGCACCGCAGTGATGCCGGAGCCGGAATATGACATCACTTCGGCTCCGGCATCAGTAAGCGGCATGCGAGTAAGCTGAACAGGAGGATCAGTGCTAACTCGCAGCATGCAGTGACCAGACGCCCAGCAGCCCCACTGGACCCCAGGGAAATCTGAGGGGCAGCACTCCCAAAGATAGGGAGGCTGGGGGCTTAAATTAAAAAAAAAAGTGAGTGTGTATGTGTGTTACTGTGTGTGTGTGTCTGTTACTTAGTGTGTTAGTGGTGTGTTTGTGTGTGTCTGTTATTGAGTGTGTGTCTGCTAGTGAGTGTCAGTGAGTGTGTTAGTTTGTGTGTCAGTGAGTGTGTGTGTATCTGTTACTGAGTGTGTCTGTTAGTGTGTGTCTGTTAGTGAGTCTGTTTGGTGTCTGTTAGTGAGTGTGTGTTTGTCAGTGAGAGTATATGTTTTATAAGTGAGTGTGTGTGTGTGTATGTGTGTCTGCCTGTCAGTGAGTGTGTATGTATGTCTGTCACTGAGTGTGTGTCTGTCAGTAAATGTGTGTGTCTGTTAGCTAGTGTGTTTGCGTCTGTTCGCGAGAGTGTGTGTGTGGTTAGCACCCCTTCAGCACTTACCTTTCTCCAGCGCTGGGCTCCCTTGGCGCTGGGGATCTCTCCGCTCCATTCCCACCTCTCAGCTACGAATGCGCATGCATGACAAGAGCCGCACGCGCATTCAAACCGCCCATAGGAAAGCATTACTCAATGCTTTCCTATGGATGTTCAGCGTCTTCACACTGTGATTTTCACAGTGAGAATTGCGGAAGCTCCTCTAGCGGCTGTCAGTGAGACAGCTACTAGAGGCTGGATTAACCCTCAGTGAAACATAGCAGTTTCTCTGAAACTGCTATGTTTTCAGCTGCAGGGTTAAAACTAGAGGGACCTAGCAACCAGACCACTTCATTGAGCTGACGTGATCTGAATGCCTATTGTGGTCCTTTAAGCCTTTAAGTGTATGTGTATCTGCATGCTCTGGCGTACATACAGCGGTCGCAGGGGTCACAGCCATGTGTTGCCAGAGTAAGCGCGGGGGGGAGCCATGGATTAATTTTCGCACCGGGATCGTGTGTACGCCACTAGGGTAGTGGATGCATTGAATAGCCTTCCAGCTGAAGTGGGAGAGGTTAACACAGTAAAGGAGTTTAAGCATGCGTGGGATAGGCATAAGGCTATCCTAACTATAAGATAAGGCCAGGGACTAATGAAAGTATTTAGAAAATTGGGCAGACCAGGTGGGCCAAATGGTTCTTATCTGCCGTCACATTCTATGTTTCTATGTTTCAAATAACATTTCTAATAAAATACGATAAAAAGCAATAATATATACATTTAACAACTTATTTTGTTGCCCTCATTTGCATACAAGTCGTATGCAAATGATTAGTCAGTCAGCAGAGGGCGCAGCAGAGTTATCAAAGTAACAATGTATAGTTTCTAACTTGATTGCTGTTGTCACACACCTCTTTCAGGGACTCCTGGTACCAGGTCCATAGTCTATGGGTAAGAGGCTGGCCTTTAAGCCTCTCCAAAGGGAGTTGACATGGGAACTTCTGTTACAGTTTGCGAACGTGCATCCTGCTGGATGCATTTGGTCCCAAATTCTTTCAAATCAGAGCTTTATGGAAAATCACTGATTTTAATTCGGACCCTGAATGCATCCGGCCAATAGGTGCATATTTGGTCAGGTTGGCTGAATTTCTGCCAAAATTTGGCTTTAGTAAATAAAAGAATTGGCATTGCACTGTTATTAATCACACTGATGGGAGATTTATATTCTCCAACTCCAGTGAGCTATACATATCTCCTCCTGATTGCAGCACCAAAAATGATTGCAACATATCACTGAGCTGGGGGTCCGATTCACCCCCTCCCTAAGGACATCTTGCTTATCATCAACAGTAAAAGCCTATATGATCAGTTGGTTATCTCATACATGCTATCTCGGCACTCAGCTGAATTTTTCATTTTATTTTACATTGTTTTTATAATTCAATACACAGAACTGTTGGCATTTTCTTCGGTGAAGCTTTTAGAATTGAACTACTTTGAAGCATTACCTCTTTCAATGGTTCAGACCATTGAACCATTGGCACAGAAGCTGTACTCTCAAGCCGCATTTAAATACAAACATTAATCACTGTTTAAACAGTGTGTGCATCAGGAACAATTCAACCATTAAAATAACAAAAGTCATTTGCCAAGTAACTTAGACTTATGGTTATGGAGATGTTTTAGAAACTCTTGAAAATCCCACCTTGGAGATTTCCAACTGATTTGTAAACATGAATAATAACTGTCCAAGTCGATGATGGATACAAGTCCCTACCTATGATTAAGTGCTCATGGCAAGCACAAAACAAGTAAGGACATTCATTAGGTATGTCTGCTTGGGAATTTGAACACTTAATTTTAAGCACAGTTTTATGAATTCAGTGGCCATTGGCTACGTAGGTTTATTTTTTATGCTATCTTGGAATAAAAGCTAAGCTTTATTTTGGAATAAAAGTCTAGTCCTGGAGGTTTGGTACTGGAAGTTTATTGGCTGCATTATCTATGGGACACCTGCCAAGGTGGATAAACTGGATCTTGGAGTGTGGATGTGGCACGTAAGGAAAGGTGTACACCCACAAAGGACATTAGACAAGTGAGCTTGCTTTGTTTTTGATATTTCTGAACAAATCACTATAAGTCATTGGAGCATTTATTACAGAGCACTGTCAGGGCTCAGCTAGAATTGGTAAGGGAAGGATTCTAGGTGGGCAAAGTTCATCTTCATTCTGATGAAATGTATGCACACGATCATTAGGGCTATGCCAATCTCCATTGGTGAGAATGACTTGGAATCTGATATCATACTTTTGTAGTGTTTTCTGATTGCAATCAAAAAGAACATTAGGACACAATAACAATAAAACACAAGTATATATGACATAGGATCATAATATGAGAGCATATCTGCAAATTGTAAATGTATCATCTAGTAAATTGGCAAGCGGAGGGCCCTGACCTGCCAATAGCAGAGTTATGAAACTTGAAATATGTGATGGACTGACAAGAGGCATTTTCCAATTATTAAAATGATTGCAGATACGCACTTATGTGATATGAGTTGCCATACAAAGACAGAATTGTTTGCAGTGGGATCTTTGTTCTCCAAAATTTATAGATAATGCACTTTGTATATTCCTGCTCTTCCAAGCTTCACCTAAGTGTTATTGTTGCTTTTAGACATTAGACAGGGTTGGATCTGATTTAGAGGGACCCTATAGTCACCAAAACAACTTAAGCTTAATGAAGCAGTTTTGGTTTATATATCACGTCATTGCAGTCTTACTGCTCAATTCTCTGTCATTTAGGAATCAAATCAGTATTGTTTCTGTTTATGTAGCCGTAGCCACAATTTCCTTGGTTGTGATTCACACATCCTGTATGAAAAAAATGGTTGCATTTTGAATAAAATGTTAACTTATTTTAGAAGTCCTGCTCTGTAAATTGAACATACAGGAAGCTCATGCAAGGTCTAGAAAACTATTAACAGTGCAGGAAATACATTCTGAATTAAACATACTGTGCAATAAAGGAAGTATAAACAATAGATCCCACTTTACAGGAAGTATTTAGGAAGGCTGTGCATAATGAAAATACAATGACCATTTCAAAACACCAGAATAGTCATGGAATAACCCACTAATGCTTACTTTTTAAGCACACACAGAAATATTATAAACAATTGTTTTTATTTACTCATACAGCTCCGGTTTTGATCATGGTGTCTAGGTGGACTTATATTTTGCTTATGTAGTTGTTGCACAGATCAATAAAGGCAAGTGTGTTTGTGTGTCCAGGGTCTTTATGCATTAGAAATTGTCGGCATTGAGCCAGAGGTCTGGGCAAGAACACAGATAAAAATCAAATAAACTTACCTCTCTCTGTGCCATACCTACCCATACCTCGGGGAAAAATAGGAGATAGTCTGAGATTTTGGAATATTCCTTTGTTCTCGTTAGCAACATTTTTTACATCAACCTTAGATTATACTAATTCCCACTCTGATACGATTCCATTATAGAGGCCTCCTGGTTTTGTCTCCTGAGGCAAATTTGGTGACTGATCGCAAAGGGAGTTATTTTCAACCTGGTGCAGCACATCAAAGTCCTCTTTACCATAGAAATGGCACTCTTTAAGGAAGATCTCAGCATCCAGACTGGATAAGTCAGAGCCATAGAGAAGGACATTTTGGAGGAACACAACAAGCAGGACACATCTCATGCACAATTGGCAGATATACACAAGCTATACAATGTCTTAGTCCTGAAATTGGATTGCACTGGATGATAATTAAAGCAGGAGGCTTCAATGTTTAGCAGACAGAAGATCAGAGAGCATTCTCCCAAGTTTTTTAAAGATAATTTTCTGCTGAAGTGCTTTATAGGCTGACAAATGGACCGTTTCTGGATGGCCTACAGTATATTGACTACCCATGTCCACGCAAGCAGCACAGTGAGTTCCACAGGATATTTTTCTGTGATTCCAGACCTGTAGGAATTAGGTGTTGTTTATGGAGGCAGTAAGGGATCATGCAACTCTTCCAGGAATCACTTCACATCATGTTAGCCCCAGGGCCGGATTAACATAGGGGCTGATGGAGCTGCAGCTCCAGGCCCAGGCCCATGGAATAGGCCCATTGATTTAAAAAAAAAAAAAAAAAAAAAATTCTTTTTTTCACACACTACTCTTAGGGATTCCACCTGGCCTTTATTTTATTGGCACAGCCAGTATTTGAGGCTGCCTGGCTGGTGCCAATAGTACAGTGATACTGGCAATACAAATGCTGGTATTTTTCTCAGTATAAACAAGAGATTACTATGCAATACCAGCACTGGCCAGTAGGGGTCACTGTGTGTGGGAGACAGGCAGGGATAGGAAGTTCCAGCATATCCCTCCCTGCCTATCTATACTCACTGATCTGCAGGGGTGCAGCTACAGAGAGTCCAGACAGCAACTCCCACCCTGCAGAGACAGCCTACAGCTCAGGGAAGTAAGGGATGGGGGAAAGGCTGCAAGGAGACATGGGGACACTGAGACACTAAGGGACACTGGGAGACATTATGGCAGACACTGAGACACTAAGGGACATTGGGAGACATTATGGCAGACACTGAGACACTAAGGGACATTGGGAAACATTATGGCAGACACTGAGACACTAAGGGACATTGGGAGACATTATGGCAGACACTGAGACACTAAGGGACACTGGGAGACATTATGGCAGACACTGAGACACTAAGGGACATTGGGAAACATTATGGCAGACAATGAGACACTAAGGGACATTGGGAGACATTATGGCAGACACTGAGACACTAAGGGACACTGGGAGACATTATGGCAGACACTGAGACACTAAGGGACATTGGGAGACATTATGGCAGACACTGAGACACTAAGGGACATTGGGAGATATTATGACACAGACACATGGGGACACAGTGCCCCTGGTGTCTCAGTGTCCCCATGTCTCCCAGTGCCCCCATGTCTCAATGTCCCCAGCCAGTGTCTCTAGTGTCTGTGTCCCTGGTGTCTGTGTCCCCATGTCTTCAAGTGTCCCCTATTCTCCCATTGTCCCCATGTGTCCCAGCCAGAGTCCCCTAGTCTCCCAGTGTCACTGGTGTCTCCGTGTCCCTAGGTCTCCCCGTGTCCCCAGGTCTCCCCGTTTTCCTAGTGTCCTAGTGACATGGGGACCCTGGGATACATGGGGACACAGGGAGACATGGGGCATTGAGACACTGATACATAGGATCACTGGGAGACCTGGGGACACGACACTAGGGGACACTGGGAGACATGGGGCACTGAGACACTGATACATAGGAACACTGAGGCCTGGAGTAATCGACACATGGGGGCACTGAGTCATGAGGGCACTGGGAGACATGGGGCACTGGGAGGAATCCATCTATACAGCAGAATCAAACTAAGTAGTTTTTTGGTGATTTTACAGCATTTTCTCTTATGTCACTCCTTGTGATTTACATCATGTGATGTCACCCATACATATTTAATTATGCAAATTAGCAAGGCCGGTATGTTTTTCCAAGAAAGGTGGCAACCCTAACTACTTTTCACATACTCTTACTTAAGTATGGAAACTTAAGTGGGATGTATGGGAACAAAACTTGTGTGGACTGGCTAACAATGAATATAGTTAAAGGGACACCATAGTCACCAGAACAACTACAGCTTATTGAATTTGTTCTGGTGAGTAGAATCATAGAATCATTACCGTCAGGGTTTTTGCTGTAAACACTGTCTTTTCAGAGAAAATGCAGTCTTTACATTACATCCTAGTGATAACTTCACTGGCCACTCTTTAGATGACTGTTAGAGATCCTTCCTGGGTCATGGCTGCCTAAAATGCATCCAAACATTCAGTGTCTCCTCCAGGGCCAGACTGGGAGAAAAATTCGTCCCGGGCATTTTTTTAATACAGCGGCCCACTAAGAAGGGGGCGGGGCAGAGGAGGTGTGTTTTGTCATCACTCATGACAAACACGCCCCCTCTCAAAGTGAGCATGTTGGTTCAATGCTCTTCCAGGGCAGACCATGCACAGAGCTCTGCTGAAGAGCTCTAGCATGAGAAAAAAGTCCTGTATTTGTTCTGCACAGTGCAAGCAAATTTAATAACATGCTTGCACTGTGTTTCCTTGCAACTTGTCTATGGTGTCTCTATAAATGGATACCAGGAGACAAAAGGCCAGGAAAGAGTATTGTGCATGTGTTTGGAGCCTGCTTGTGGTATTGCGTGTGTGTAGAGTGAGCTGGTCGTGGTGTGGTATTGTGTAATAAGGTCGGTTTTAGTCGTGTTGTGTTTGTGGTGTAATGTGATGCATATGTGGCTCAGGGACCCCCTCGCGCCCGGCTCTGGAAAGGGGTTAAAACTTACCTTTTTCCAGCGCCGGGCGGGGAGCGCTCCTCCTCCGATCCGCCCCGTCGGCTGAATGCACACGCGCGGCAAGAGCTGCGCACGCATTCAGCCGGTCGCATAGGAAAGCATTTATAGTTTCGCTGAAACGGCTATGTTTATAAAACAATGGGTTAACCCTAGGAGGACCTGGCACCAAGACCACTTCATTAAGCTGAAGTGGTCTGGGTGGCTAGAGTGGTCCTTTAAGAGTGGAGTGTGTGTGTGTGTATATAAATATATATATTTGGAAGTATTGTGTATGTGTGTGGTGCAGTGTGTTGGGGGGTTCTGTGTGTATGTGAGGGGTGCAGTATGTGTGTGTGTGTGTGTGTGAGAGTGCCGTGTGTGAGTGATGGGTGTGTGAGTGATGGGTGTGAGAGTGCCGTGTGTGAGTGATGGGTGTGAGAGTGCCGTGTGAGAGTGCGTGTGAGAGAGTGATGTGTGTGTGTGAGAGTGCTGTGAGAGAGTGCTGTGAGTGTGATGGGTGTGAGAGAGTGCTGTGTGTGTGTGAGAGTGCTCTGTGAGAGTGCTGTGAGTGTGATGGGTGTGAGAGTGCTGTGTGTGAGAGTGCTGTGTGTGATGGGTGTGAGAGTGCTGTGTGAGAGAGTGCTGTGTGTGATGGGTGTGAGAGTGTTGTGTGAGAGAGAGTGCTGTGTGTGATGGGTGTGAGGGTGCTGTGTGAGAGTGCTGTGTGTGATGGGTGTGAGAGGTGCTGGGTGTGATGGTGCTGTGTGAGAGTGCTGTGTGTGATGGGTGTGAGGTGCTGTGTGTGATGGGTGTGAGTGCTGTATAAATGTTATTGCTTGTGTGTAGGGGGTAAATAAAAAAATAAAAAACAGTCCCCCCTTACCTTTAGCCTGGGAGGGGGGGACCGGCACGCTGGGACTGGGAGGCTGGCACCTGGAAGGGCTGGATTCCCTGGTGGCCCTCGTGGGTGAGTGAACTCTAGCCCGCATAGCCTGTGAGGCTAGAGTTCACTCTCGCGAGATCCGGTTGTTGCCATGGCAACGCGCCAGATCTCGCGAGAGGAACCCGGCGGAGCTGCAAGTTAGAGACAGTGCCGGCGTTAGGAGAGTGCCGGCCCTGCATAGACCGGCAGGGGAGATCCTGGGACCTCCCCTGCCGGCCTCGGTCCATGGCCACCGCGGCCCACCGGGCATTTGCCCGGTGTGCCCGATGGCCAGTCCGGGCCTGGTCTCCTCCCTCTGCATGCAGACACTGAACTTTCCTCATAGAGATTCATTAAATTCATCTAAATAAGGAGATGCTGATTGGCCAGAGCTGTGTTTGAATCATGCTGGCTCTGACCCTGATCTGCCTCTTTGTCAGTCTCAGCCAATCCTATGAGGAAGCACTGTGATTGGATCAGGCCACCACTTCTAATGATGTCAGCAGACTGCTTGTTTTTATGAGTATAACAGCATGCAGAGTTACAGCTTCAGGCTTGAATATAGTAAGATTTTGCTATATTTATGGAGGCATGAGGGGCCCAGGGGGGCTAGATGGTGGTGTTAACACTATAGGGTCATGAATTCATGTTTGTGTTCCTGACCCTATAGTGATCCTTTAACCCCTTAAGGACACATGACATGTGTAACATGTCAAGATTCCATTTTATTCCAGAAGTTTGGTCCTTAAGGGGTTAAAGTAATGCTGACTTTGGTCTCTCCAACACTGTGGCATGTTCCCTTTCTTCTACACTCACTACATACAGCTTTTCTCTGTCCCAGACCATATACCAGGAGCTTCTGCCTGCTAGTAAGAAGGTAAGGAGACAAGTGGACCAGCGAGTGCTAGGGGACCGTCCTTAGAAAGCGTTGAGTGAGCGCATCATTAGATGCATTTATGCCAAGCTCAGGGTGCTGTCTGCATAGTATGCCCTTAGTTGGCCAGCTGCATGATTGGCAGGCAGCCTGACATGCATTCATGCCAGGCTGGCCTTCTAATTCTCTGAGCAGACAGGTCTTCTTTTTGGGCATGTTCGCCCCTTTTAGCAGGTTACGTGATTTGTGTCAGTGGCACACCCTTTTACCATGCCCATTGACTTCCTGCTTGATTGGACGTTGCTGTTAGGGGTTATGGATTTACTTGAAAAATGAAAACATAAATTAGAGAGAGATTAGCCTAGGGTATGTGTTTTATTATAGCTGCTGTTTTCTTTCTCTCCAGCACCATCTCCATCAGATACATGACGCTTGGGAGTGTTTTACTGTTTTTGGTCGATATGATTCTGTAATTAGGCCCGTCATAATTGTCAGCACCAGGCCCAATGGGCTCTTAATCTGGCCCTGGTTAGCCCTATACTGGTTTACCATTAAATAGGTGGCACCGTGATATCTTATCAGTAGGGTTTCACCTGCTCCCTATTAGTGGAACATAATAGCCAACTGTACAGACTAACTTACTAATAAATGCTTATTTATGGATATACCTTTATCATCATGTATTATTTCTCATTCGTCTCTTTCCCTCTTCCTCTATTTCTCTTTTCTATTACTATCCCTTTATTATATTCATCTTATAAACTCATAATGATTAAAAACATTTAACATTACAAAAAACAAACACTTCGATCCAAATTCAGTAATATATATATGGTAGGGGCCTTTTGTCTAAGAGCTTATCGTTTTCTTTGTTTTTTTTTAATTTCCCTCTCTTATTTATCCTTATCTTTTATCGTTTTCCTTTCCCACGTTCATTCCCCTCTCTCTCCTACGTTTTCCTTGTTTTTTTCTATTCATTATCTGTTTCGCTTTCTTTACTCTTATTTAACCTAAATCACTTAAAAAACTAATTAATAGACTTATAAATTATGAACATTAACTACCCAAAAAAATGTATATCAATATTTTGGTGGGCTTGAGGATTAACTGATCATGAAAAAACGTAGGAGGCAAAGACACAAGTACAGGACATACTTTCCATGTATGGGGATCTTTTTCCTTAGTATTTCTTCTTTACTTTTATTTATTTATTTATTAATTATTTTGAATTTTTAAAAAAATTTCTTGCCCCCTTCTTCCCTTTTTTTCTTTTCCGTCTTTTTCTTCCTTTCTTTCCTTTCTCTCTTTTCACTTCTTTCCCTTTCTTTCCCCTTCTCTCTTCCCTTTATTTTTCTTTTCCTTTCTTATTTCCTTTTAGGAAAACTTTGACTAGTGTGTATAATACCTAGGATCCTAAGTTTCACTGTTAATCTTTGCCTAAGATAGCTAAGTAGTCAATCCGGAGATTAAATTCTGGTTTATTCAAATTCTCTTTATGGGAGAACTTTGACTGTGTGCGTTATTTCTTGGGTTCATATACTACCTAGATTAAGTCTCCCCCAAAGTAGCTAACCAATCATTCCAGAATTTAAATTCTGACCTTTTACAATTGGATTGACTTAAAACACCCCTTTCCTTAGCACATTGTGTATAAATATGCGTTTTAATCTCCAGCCAAGTTGGGATTTTAATTGATAACCAATTTCTGGCTAATAATAATTTGGTTGCTGTCAGAATATGATTCCATCTTTTTTTTGTTTGGGAAAGTTTAAATGTAAAAGAGCCATTTCTGGATTCAACTCCCATTCATGTCCAAACCATTGTTTCAGCTGTTGCGATATATCATTCCATAATTTTGTTAATTTTGGGCATGTCCACGAAATATGGACAAAATCCCCTTTTACCAAACCGCATCTCCAGCAATTTGGTAAAGCAGTGGATACATTTTACTAAGCATTGAGGGGACTTTACCATCGGTTAAAGGACCACTATAGTGCCAGGAAAACAAACTCATTTTCCTGGCACTATAGTGTCCTGAGGGTGCCCCCACCCTCAGGGTTCCACTCCTGCTCGGCTGAAGGGGGAGGAAGGGGTTAAAATCTTACCTTTCTCCAGAGCCGGGCTCCCTCGGCGCTGGTGAATCTCCTCCTCCTTTGGTCATCATCGGCTGAATGCGCATGCGCATTCAGCCAGTCCATAGGAAAGCATTCTCAATGCTTTCCTATGGACGCTGGCATCTTGTCATTGTGAAAATCACAGTGAGAAGCGCAGAAGCGCCTCTAGTGGCTGTCAATAAGAGATACCATTATATTTCCTTTGGTGGCCGGGGCTCCATGTTCCCCCCGGGTTAAGTGAGGAGTTGATAGTTCTGCTTCCGGTATAGGGTCAGGGGCATCTAACAGTTCCTCGGAGGAGGATGAAGAGTCAGGGTTGTCAGGCGGCACCGCCATCTTGGGCCTAGGCCACGTGTGGAAGAGTTCTCCGATACTTCAGTGTCCATCTCCCGAGTGAGTTTTAAATTCTTGGAGCTTTTCCCCATGTCTTCCTCCGGTATCAGGGACACGGTCTGGGTCTGTTTTCGGTAACTTTTGCAGTGCAGTGTTGGTTTTTAGTTGATTTTTCGCCGGAGCTTTGCAGGCCGTATGCACATTTAATCTATGATTTTTGCACATTTAATGGATTTTTTAATTCATAAATGTTTTTGAATGCATATTTCACAATTTTATTTTTCTCTCTCTCTCTCTCTCTCTCTCTCTCTCTATATATATATATATATATATAAATGCAACAAATTGAGAGCACTCATTGGATTTAGTAAACAAAAAAATATATTAAATCAAACGCATATAAATCAACGTTTCGACCGTCTAGCGGTCTTTATCAAGACCGTCGAAACGTTGATTTATATGCGTTTGATTTAATATATTTTTTTGTTTACTAAATCCAATGAGTGCTCTCAATTTGTTCCATTTGTATATTTTGCACGGAGAGGCACCTGGTCATTGCTGAATTTATGCTTTTGCTATGGGATGAGTGCCAGAAACTATTGTGATTTATATATATATATATATATATATATATATATCTTTTGTATATGCTTTGTTGTTCTGATCACCTATACATTTATTTGATTGACATGTTAATTCAAGTATATATTTATTACTGTTTTAGTGCTGGAGTGTGTTACAGTTAGATCACACATCACTGACAGAGCTATTAACTAAAGTGAGAATTGTAAGGAATTTCAAATTCAATGTTAAAATATCTGAAATAGAAGCAATTTTTCCAGTTTTGCTGTTTTGGCCTTAAATTTGAAATTCACTTTGAATACCTGGCCATTTTCGCTTTAGTGGATAACTTGTTAGTGTTTTCGCACTGCTTATTCTATCTTTATTTGAAAAAAGCACCATGGCTATTTAGATATTTTTATACTACATGCATTCTTGAATTTTACCACTTGAGGGCCCCATTAAATCACTTGGATTCGTATTTCTTTAGATGTGAATATTTACTTTAAAATAAATAAAATCATACTAGTCATTTAAATCTAATCACTTGTTTAAAAGCAGCATTTTGTTGTATTAGTCTGTAATCTTGGCAAATAACAAAGGAATTACAAACTGTAGGCTAAAGTAGGTCAGCATAATTCACTTATGTTTTCAGCTTAAAATATACAGTTACCTTCCCACTTTTCCATAACTCATGTTTTAGTGAATAGACCCCTATATATTTTTGGAAATTCGCTGTTTTAATAATATCTAAAAATATAAAATCATTTAAAAAGTGTATCCAAATATATTGAATTGTGGCATGAATTCTAAAGAGTTGCACTCATTTTTTAATACCACAATAACCACATTTTTCACTCAGGCAATTTATTCTGCAATGGTAAAAGTGTTTGATACTCTCATCCAGTCTATTTCCAATGCTATTTTGCAGGACTTAAACCTGCCAAAAAGTGGGAATCCCGGTTCCTTCCACTACTCCTGATGACAAGCAGTGGTGGATCCAGAGCCTGATCTCGGGAGGGGCACTTGTAGATTATTTAAAGAAATAATCCAGACACAATAACCACTACAGCTCAGTGTAGCGGTTATGGTGTCAATAGTGCCGGGACCCCCTCCCAGAGTAAGTAGTCAAACTGTTTAATAACAGTTTCACAACTTACCTGAGGTCTGCTGGGAAATGGGGCTGTAGTAGGGCATAGGGGCAGTGATGTGTGTGAGTGGTGCAATGTGTAAGGGGTGCAGTGTGTGTGTGAGGGGGACAGTGTGTGAGTGAGGGTGGCAATATATGTCAGGGGTGCACTGTGTGTGTTAGGGGGGCAGTGTATGTGTGTGTCAGTATTTGTGTGTGATATTTGCAGTGTGTGTGTGTGTGTGAGGATTGCAGTGTATGTGTGAGTTTGGGGCAGTGTATGGGGGGCAGTGTGTGTATGGGGGTGTGTGTATGTGGGGTAGTGTGTGTGTATGGGGAGCAGTGTGTGTGTATGGGGGCAGTGTGGCTTTATGTGGGGCAGTGTGTGTATATGTGGGGGGCAGTGTGTGTGTATGTGGGGGGCAGTGTGTGTGTAAGGGGGGCAGTGTGTGTGTATGGGGGCAGTGTGTGTATGGGGGCAGTGTGTGTGTATGGGGGCAGTGAGTGTGTATGGGGCAGTGTGTGTGTATGGGGGGCAGTGTGAGTGTGTGTGGGGGGGGAGCAATGTGTGTGTGATTATTAAAAAGCCCCCTACCCTTCACACACATCGCCCTCCCACACTCACATACACTGCCTCCATACATACATATTAATTTAAAAAATTTAAAAAACAACACATATTATATTAAAATATTAAAAGCCCCCCCTACCCTTCTTATATCTGTTTTTTTTTTTATTTAACTGTACTAAAACATATATTCTTTATGTGCCCCCTCCCTTCTTACCTTTACTGGGAGGAGGGGGGGACATATTTCGATCCCTGGTGGTCCGTTGGGGATTCCCTGGTGGTCCCAGTGGTGGTAAGGTGAACTCTAGCTCGCGCTCCAGGGCTAGAGTTCACTCTCGCGAGATTTGGAGCATTGCCGTGGTAACCGCGGCAACGCTCCATGCTCGCGAGAGGAGAACCCGCAGGAGCTGCAGGTAAGAGCTCCCGGGTCCTCTCTCACTCCCTCCCCCCGCCGGGTGTCAGCACAATGCCCGCGTACCGGGGATTGATCTCCCTCCCCGGTCCGCAGGCACATTGCAGGGCTGGCGCTTAGACAATGCCAGCCCTGCATTAGCTGGCAGGGGAGAATCTCGGGGGGGGTCAGGGGGGTCAATTGCCCCGTTGCCCCCCCTGGATCCACCACTGATGACAAGCCTACTGTGACTTCCCACAGTCATAAATTGACCACCAAGTCCCACCATAATGAGGCCTACACCCCCAAAAAAACAATGACAGACAAGATACATGCTGTCACTGTTGACGCAGTCACACCATGGAAAAGAGTCCTCCACTGTGCAAAATCAGCTAAAGTTCTCCTGGATACATCTGACTCTGAGCCATCTTTGTGAGAAGGTGCCTGATAAGTCTGCTTCCATCAATTCCTTTGTTTTCTGATGGATCTCTTCCAATTCTTACATTGCCTAATCCCACAGTTGACACTGCCAAATTTGACACTGTTTAAATTTCCAACTTCTGAGATTCTTCTGCTAGAAACCAGACCCGAAAGGTTTTGCAACAGATGCCTTCCTTCAAATATGCTGGCAGTCCTGAAATTACACCATTCATTTGTTTTCTCACATCTCTTGAACCCTCCTGCATCTACGTCATTATCATGTTTCTCTCTTTCTCATTACCCTGTTTTGGACCATGGTTCCCAACACTCCTGGGATTTGGAGCACAGAGGATTCCAGCTATAAAGATTTCTGTTCTGCCTTCTAACTTCTTACCTTTGTGAGTGCAATAGTCCACTACCTACTACATGGTGTTTTATTGTATTACACTATTTGTGATTTTTTATTGTATTTTTTGGGGTTACACTGTTTTTAACTGAGACATAGTGGAGTCTTTCTTATCTACAACATACATTATTGTGGAAAAGGGTAATACTTTTGATATTTTACTCCCACTGGTGTGTGTAGGTGTTCTTATATATTTGGTGTACTACTAGAGATGCCCATGGACTTTTTTCCTTTCCAGACCTCCTCTCAATGGCAATCATAATGTCCATCCTATGCTGCTCCAGAATCATCTTCGTCGACTATCATGGCTTCTTTCTAGGGACCCTGTTGCATTACAGGTATTCCACTGTCAACACTTGAAATTTTGGTTTGGTCTTCTGGGACAAGATTAACCTACCTCAATGTCTGGAATTCTTGGAGCCTGGAACAAAACCTATATTGGCTCCTGTAAACAAATTACACTTTCTCACTCATCTCAACAATGTTTGGACTACTGAACAGTTAACCTTTGGCTATATCTGCCTATCATCGGTATTGATAGTGTCCCAGTGAGGAAAAAAAATCTATAGTTTGCCATTCCCTACATTGTATCACGTTTGCCCGGCCACTTCAACCTACATATTTTTCCTTATGGGACGTTTGTTTTTTATTTACCTTTTTGAATCCTAGCCAAATCTACGTTGGTTGCGCTTTTTCTGGCTCAGTTTCTGTAAACGTGTCTCCGATATCCGAGCTTTGGACATTGATGCAATCAATCAATTGATGCAATCTTTTACCACAGACATGATCTCCTTTGACATCTCTGAAAGTACAAATAGTTTGATAAAATAGTTTTTTTATCCATGTGTTTTCCTGAGAAGCCTAAACTCTGTCTTGTCTCTCGTTTGCAGTAATATGAATCTATACGATTTCAGCAAAAGTGCTTCTTGGTTTATGCAAACCTCACAGTCTACTTACTGAGGTCACTTTGGTACCATGGGTTAAATATTTCATGGAGCTTGCCAGAATTCATACTTCAATCATCTGACTCTATTTGACTAGAGGAGCTACAGCTTTCAAAGTTTTTTTTTTTACCTGGAATTCTGTATTGAACATCTCCGATCTGCTGGCCTCCCCTGCAATTCGACCTTCCATGAATTGTACAGTCATGGAAAAGAAAGTACACCTTCTTTAAAATCAATGGTTCTACACAGGGCCTGACTGGCCCAACGGGATACTGGGAAATTTCCCGGTGGGCCGTCGGCACCTGGGGCCGGGCAGGCAGCTGGCTCACCTGCGGCCTCAGAGGGAGCTCTTTTGGCCGCCGCAGGGGGATCTGGCTGTTCTGTCTCTGCTCCCCCTCCCCAGCGCGCTACAAAGAGACCGGGGCCGGAATATGACTTCCTATTCCGGCCCCGGTCTCATTAAGCGGCGCGCTGGGGTGGAGGAGCAGAGACAGAACAGCCAGCTCCCCCTGCAGCTGCCAAAAGAGCTCCCCACAGGTAGAAATTGTGTGTCAGTGTGAGTGTATGTGTGTGTATGTCTGTCTGTGTCATGGTGTGTCTGTCTGTGTCATGGTGTGTGTGTCTCTGTGTCATGGTGTGTGTGTGTCTGTCTGTGTCATGGTGTGTGTGTGTCTGTCTGTGTCATGGTGTGTGTGTCTGTCTGTCATGGTGTGTGCGCCTGTCTATGTCATGCAATGTGTGTCTGTGTCATGGTGTGTGTGTGTGTGTCATGTAATGTGTGTCTGTCTGTGTCACGGTCTATGTGTGATGTGTGTGTGTGTTTGTCATGGTGTGTGTGAGTGTCTGTATGTCATGGTGTGTGTGTCTGTGTCACGGTCTCTCTGTGTCGTAGTGTGTGTGTCTGTGTGTCATGGTGTGTGTGTCTGTCTGTGCTGGACCACCAGGGATCGTGTGCGAGTGCCGGTCCCCCACCCCCCACCTCCCCCCTTACCTTTAGCCTGGGAGGGGGAGGGGTCCGGCACGCTGGTGAGTGGGGGGGGGTGGGGGACCGGCACTTGCACACGATCCCTGGTGGTCCAGTGGTGACTCTCGCGAGATTGGGGCGTTGCCATGGCAACGCTCCCGATCTCGCGAGAGGAGCCCGGCGGAGCTGCAAGTTAGAGCTCCGCCGAGTCCTCTCCCTCCCTCCCCAGTCGCAGGTCTATTGAAATGGGCCGGTGAGGGAGATCTTTGATCTCCCCACCGGCCCTCCATGGAATACAGCGGGGCCAGCGCTCTGATAGTGCCGGCCCTGCATAGACTGGCAGGGGATGTCCTGTGACCTCCCCTGCCGGCCTCGGCCCATGGCCACCGCGGCCCACCGGGCATTTGCCCGGTGTGCCCGATGGCCAGTCCGGGCCTGATCTCAGCCAATCCGCACTGACACAGGAAGCACCTCTAGTGACCGTCTGAGTGTCTGTTACTAGGAAGCAATGTAAACACTGCCTTTTCTCTAAAAAGTCAGTGTTTACATTGAAAAGCCTGCAGGGACAGGCTATAGACACCAGAGCCACTACATTAAGCTGTGTGTGTGTGCGCGCCTGCTAGTGAGTGGGCTTGCTTGTGTGTGTGTGTGTGCCTGCTACTGAGTGAGCTTGTGTTTTTATGTCAATGACCTTATGTATATCAGTGAGATTGTTTGTCTATGAGGCTGTGTATCAATCAGCTTGTGTCAGTGAGATTGTCTGTGTCTGCATGTGAGTATGCTTACTGTATAATTAAAAATTTTACTCTGAAAGGACCAATATTTTATATTGGAAAAAACAATATATATATATATATATCTATATCAGGGTGGCAAGACATAGCCTTACATATTACATGTGACAATATATGGCACAATGACTTATGGGGCTGGCATAGATTTTTTTTTCCAGGGCTGCTTTGGAATCACCAGTCCGGCCCTGGTTCTACATATCAGGACATAATAACAATCACCCATTCCTTAGCAGGTATTAAAATTAGATAAATAGAACCTCAGATGAACAACATCACATGACATATTACACCATGTCATGATTTACTTAACAAAAATAAAGCCAAAATGTTAAAGCCATGTGTGAAAAACTAAGTACACCATATGAGTCAAATGTTTGTAGAACCACTGTTTGCAGCAATAAGTTGAAGTAATTGTTTTTTTGTACTTTATCAGACTTTTCTGTACTTTATCAGTGTATCACATCGTTGTGGAGGAATTTTGTCCCACTCTTCTTTACAACATCGCTTCAGTTTATTGAGGTTTGCTGGCATTTTTTACCCACAGCATTTAAATTGGGTTGAGGTCGGGATATTGATTGGGCCATTGCAACACCTTCATCCTTTTCTTTTTCAGCCATTCTGTTGTAGATTTGCTGGTATGCTCGGAATTATTGTTCTGTCGCATGACCTAAATTCGGGCAAGCTTTAGCTACTGGACAGATGGCCTCACATATGACTCTAGAATACTGTGGCATATAAAGGGGTTCATGGTCGACTCAATGACTGCAAGGTTCAAAGGTCCTGTGTCTGCAAAACAAGTCCAAATCATCACCCCTCCACCACCGTGCTTGACAGTTGGTTTGAGGTGTTTGTGTTGATATGCTGTGCTTGGTTTTTGACAAAAGTGGTGCTGTGCATTAGGGCCAAACATCTCCACTTTGGTCTCATCTGTCCAAAGAACATTGTTCCAGAAGTCTTGTGGTTTGTTCATATGCAACTTTGCAAACCTAAGCTATGCTGTCATGTTCTTTTTAGAGAGAAAAGGCTTTCTCCTCGCTACGTTCTAAACAAACCATACTTGTTCAGTCTTTTTATAATTGAACTGTCATGAACTTTAACATTTAACATGCTAACTGAGGCCTGTAAAGTCTGAGATGTAACTTTTGGGTTTTTGGAATTTCTCTGAGCATTGCACAGTCTGACCTTGGGGGTGAATGTTGAGGAACATCCACTTCTGGAAAGAATGGCAACTTTCTTGAATGTTTTCCACTTTTGAATAATCTTTCTCACTGTAGAATGATGGACTTGAAATTATTTGTAGGTGGTTTTATAATCCTTCCAATTTAGTGGAGAGCAACAACTGCTTCTCTAAGATCATTGCTGATGTCTTTCTCCTTGGCATTGTGTTAACACACACCTAAATGCTCCAGACCAACAAACAGCTAAAACTTTGGCTTTTATAGAGATGGTCACACTTGCTTATAATCAATTAATGAAGGGGATTTGACTAGTAGCACCTGTCTGCTACTTAACCTCTTAATTCCTATAGAAGCAGTAAGGGTATACATAGTTTTTCACACATGGCTTCTCTATTTTGGCTTTATTTTTGTTAAAGAAATCATTACACATTGTAATATATCATGTGTTGCTGTTTGTCTGAGGTTGTATTTATCTAATTTTTTTTTTTTTTTAATTCTTTATTTTTGTTGTGCATTATGGGTTACAAACATGCCTGTTATGCCACGACAGCAGTCACAGGAATATCAACGTAAACATAGTCATGACAGGTTTAAGCTGCACATTTTTATAAGTAAGTATGCGTACGAATACATGCGATCCATGTTAAATGAAGGTGAGTTGTTGATAGTTATGCTTATTAACAGGTGGTTGTTGTTCTATGCCCGGCACATTTTAGCAATCATTTGACTTAAACAATTATTAAACTTAGGGGAAACCAGCTTAGACTAGTAGTGTTACACATATATCAGAAATACAGTTTTGCTCATACTTAGATTATTAGGTCCATTTCCTGTCCTAGTGCTTGTTAGATATAATATTATCGAGTTAGTGTGTGTCCTAACATAAACAATAGACAGGCATCATTATAGGGCATAGCAACCGGTCGATGAATTATAATAGCTTAAGAGAAAGAGAAAAATAAACCAGGCCATGGCATATAAAAACAAAGTAATAGGGTTCTGTCAACGGTAATTGCCTCAGGCTAGTTTTAACATGTAACTCGATTGATATGTGATGGAGCCTATACATCAAAATTGCGCCTTGCCAGATGTGGTGCTTCAGTATTTAAGCGTTTAGTTACAAGCACTTCCCTGGACCCAGATTAACTAGCTATGCCTCCCACCTCCCGAGAAAAAGACACAACATTATTAGCTAGTTAAGTGCAGATCCCCGTATTCCTGACTGGTAGCTGGTAAAAACGACTGAGTTACGAAGAACCCCCTTTATGTTGGCAGTCTCTTATATTTAGACAGTTTTTTTATGCTTGCCGCTAGTGTTCAAGGTTGCAGTCATGTTCATGTTCCACCTGTTGCTCCGGTAGGAGTAGTAGTCGGGACGTTGGATCATCCAGTGGGTTGTGGAGCATTGTTGTGCCCATTCGCTTGTAGCCTTGTGGATGTTGTCCGCCCGTTCCGCTTTGCGGCTTGGTGGAGAGACTTTTGCTTTGTGGCTCAATGCTGGTAAGAGGGTGAAGTAGCATTGTCGCTTAAAGGTCATATGAGTCTCTGCATTAACGGTGCCCCCTGTGAGTTTCTTGCAGTCGAGATGTCGGTTGGTCGTTAGTTGGTGGCGCGGTCTCACCAGGGGTGGCTGTGAGTGGTTAGCCTTTTTTTTTGCTTGGTTGCTGTAGTAGTGGCTTGTTGCCTGCCATAATAGACGTCGGACCAGCTTGTTCCCGGCAGTCTCTTTGCTCCCCTCAGGATCGTGGAAAGGGCATACCCTCCTTCTGTCCGCCGCCATTTTAGTTGAGGCGTTTGGGCCACGAGGCTGGGTGGCAGTGCTGTTGGCCCCCGGGTTGTGCTGC